GGGGAGGGGGGATAAAATTAGGGTTTTATGCGTGTTTTACGGATGTCATTGGGAAGGGGTGGGGAGGGAGGCGGTGCTGAAGGGGCGATGACTGTACGGGCACTACCCGGCCGGTACAGCCCCCAGACTCCCGTACTGTCCAAACCCAAAGGCAACGAAATGCGAAAGCCCATTGGTAACAATGACATACGTACCGACGAATTAGGCTAATAAACGGTGATGTGAAGTAGTTCCGTACCTGTTCCTGCTCCATACCCTCACCCGCTTCCATTCCGTCCCTGCCTTCCCGCCTTTCTGTCTGTCTGTCTGTCTGTCTGTCTGCTCCAGTTCGCTACGACGACATGCGTCAGATTTGGCTGACCAAGGTGCTCCGCTGGTTCAGTGTCATGATGTGGGCCTTCCAGGGCATGGCGGGTGGGTGGGGGTGGGGGTGGGGGTGGGGGTGGGGGTGGGGGTGGGGGTGGGGAGTGGGGATGGGGCTGGTGATGGGGGTGGGGGTGGTGGTGGGGGTGGCAGTGGAGGTGGAGCTGGCGGTGGAGGTGAAAGGAAAAGCGGCGGAGGTTGTTAGGTTTACGTGACAGGTGATCAGCTATCTTCCTGAGCTGTATTGGGCTCTGAACACGGCGTGTTACCACCTGGTGCGGTTGCGGTGGAGGTTCTGGAGGTGTGAGCCGGCCGGACCTATCACGTCCCTCTGTGGGTTCAGAAAGAAAGAGGGAGAGGGGGGAGTCTCTGGGAGCTGAGGGATAGTAACACCACCACAAGTAAGGAGCCGACTCTCTCACTTCCCCTTTTCCCTTCCGCTCCCTTTTCTGTCGCCCCGGCCCTTATCATTCTTATATCTCCACCCCGCACCCCGCACCCCGCACCCCGCACCCCGCACCTTCTCTTTCCTTTCGCGCGACATCTCCCCCCGCTCCCCCCTCCCCTCTTCTACCCCCCCGCTCCCCTTCAGCGGCCGAGTACCGCAACCAGTACTACAGCTGCGTCTCTGGTTTCGGAACCCAGGTCCTCTCCACCCTGCCACACTACCTCCCGGGGAACCCCTCCGTGCGCTTCGCCGGCCGCATTCTGAGCAACCCTGGAGCCGACTGCGCCATAAACACCAACAAGATCCTGTCGTACTTCAACATGACGGAGCCGTTTTGGCGGTTGGCGGTTATACTGTTGGGTTACCTGGGTGTACTGCACGTGCTGACGTACATGGCGTTGAGGCTTACGGCTGGGAGAGAGAGGCGGTGATGTGGGTGGCAGTTATGTGGCAGTTGGAGCACCTGAGGGGGGGGAAAGGGGGTGTACGGAATGTGTTGTTGAGGTTGTTGAGGCCGTTGAGGGCGTTGAGGCCGTTAATGCCGGGAGACGAAGTGGCGTCGCCGTCGCTGAAACGAGGCGGCCAGAGGCGGAAGCGGTGCGGATATCTCCTCTCCGGGGCGGGAGAAAGGAGTCGGGTAAGTGGGAGCTAGTTAGGCGAACGGAATCTGGAAAATCAGTACCAGCAAGAGCACTAAGAACAACAGCAACAACAATAGCTATAACATCAACAGCAATAACACCGACAGCATCAACAGCAACAAGAACAACAAGAAGGGGCGCAATGACTAGGTTGAGCAGCTGGGGGTGGGTGGGAGAGGATGTTGGGGGTTTCCTGGTTGTCGCACACATTCGCGAAGGCCGGGTTCAGGGGAGTTGGGGTTTGAACAGTACGGCATTAGCAGTTTGGGGGCTGGGGGGTTTTTGGGGCGGGCTGAGGAGCGGGCGATGTGTGGCAGTGGAGTGAGTCAGGAAGGGTGAGAGGGGGCGCGGCCGGGTTGGCAGCGGTGTGGCGACGGCAGCGGTGGCCGAGGCCGAGGGTGCGGTTTGGCGCCCTTGTTATGCCAGGGGTAGGGGGTGGAGAGAAAGTTAGCCAGGCGCAGAGAGCCGAGTGGTGGTGGTGGTGGCGGTAGCGATAGTAAAGGTGGTGATGAGCTGAGCTGTGGAGGTGTGTGTTTTGTGGCTGTGAAAGGATTTGCATTGGGGGGGAAGACGGGGAAGGACAGTTACGAGGCATGTTTGTGTGTGTGCGTGTGAATGCGAGTGTCGCTATTGGCTGCTTGCCGATGGAAAACACAACGTGTAGCAATGCGTGGGGCACATCGGCGAAATGAGCTTACGACTTCAGTCGCTGGGACAAAAATGGCGAAGCGTGCAAGGAATGATGGTTATGCAGGTCGTTGCTGTTTGTTCCTGGTGGTCGCGGCGGTTGGGGATTAGCTCTGACGCCGATGGCAATGGGCTGTTGACATTGCGCAGGAAACAGTTTCGGGGGACGTACATGCGACTTTATGTTATCGGAGTGTACAGTTGTACGGAGTGGCGTGTTGGGTGCGTGCGGACTTGTGCATACTCCGTCCTATTCGTCGCCCACAGTAACAAATGGACGGAAAGCATCTTCGGCAATAACTCTTGTTTAATCCCTAAAAACTCGTAAATGTGTTACGGGCTACTTCTACGTTTGCAACGATACAATCGGACCCATTGGTCGCTCCAAGAAGTCGACTCCAGATGGGCCGCTGCACGACCACATATTAATTTAAGTCTAAAAGCGGAAACGAGTGCGTAACTGTAAGAGAACGACTGTATTGAGAGTACTCCTGATCATACCCGAACCGAATGGAAACATCACGCATCGATAATGCCAATTACTTAACAAAGACAATAAAAACGAAGTTTTTGATAATATGCCTGTTGCAAGCTAAATGAAATGCGTAATGGCTTTGGTTTAGCATCGTTCCTTCGAACAGAGCGTTACGTTTATCTTTGATCACAATTTGTATAACTGCAGTTTTAATACAGAAGTTGCACTTGGGGCTGGCCTAGTCAACACTAGCAGCGGTATCATCCCGACACACTCGCCGTAACCGGGAAAGCTTTTGCGTGGCGACATGAGCACCGACAACGCACAGGCCGCATCCGGCGCTGCTGGCGCGACCGCGAGCGACAAGTCCGCCGGCGACAGCGGCAGTAGCAACAGCAAAGTGAATGCGATTTGGCAGCAGCTCAAAAGCGCGCACGGCGCCCCGAAAGCGCAAGGCGTCAACTTCAACAAGCTTTGGCATGGCTTCCACAGCGATTCCGCACAGGGCAAAGTAAAGCCCGGCACCACCAAGTCCGCGCCAGAACGCGGCATCCATCAGCCTACCCCGGACCCCGTCGCCCCAAAGCATCTCCAGCCCCAGCCCCAGCCCCAGCCCCAGCCCCTTCAACCTTCCATCAGCTCCAAGCCGGATGCCAACACCGCGCTGCAGCTGGTGGCACGTTGCGTGGCCGGGCTCAAGGACAGCTCCCAGGCAGCCCGCCGCCGGGCCCTGCAGGACGTGCAGGTACCGGGTGGGGCACCCGGGTTGGGAAAGTTGGCCTTGAGCGATGTGGCAGTGGGAGGGAGGAGGCCGTTGAGTTTAAGAGTAAAAAGAAACATCGCCGGGCCATACCGTGGTGGCGCTAGGCGGCGGGAAATGGAGGGGAGTGGTGGCGGTGATGCGGAAGACACACCCCGGCGCGCCCGAAGGGGTGTGGAACTGGGTTTAAATGACCCCCCTGAACCCCCCTGATAACGTAACCCGTCCCTATGCTTCCAGCTGAGTCCGTGCACTCCTGGCGCTGGGGACGCCAGCAGGGAGTGGCGGTGAGGGAGTGGCCGTGAGTGGTGCGCGTCCGTAGTGGGGTAGGGGGTGGGGCCCCACCCGGGTAACGCGGGGGGTCTGCATGGCACGAACCCAGGCATGTCACACGGACGTCAGCATACACCCTCTGAACCCCCCCCCCCGCGTCCCCGGCCCCCTCCCTCCGTCCTTCAGACCTCCCTTCTGGACAACCCTGCCCTCAGCGAGCAGTGGCTGACGGAGCGGCTGGAGGGGGACGGGCTGGGTAAGGCCCTCCTGCGCCGCTTCGACGACCCCTCGGACACGTGCCGGGAGATGGCGGTGACAGGGCTGTTGAGGCTGCTGCAGGCGGCACCGGGGGCAGTGCTGTCGCTGCTGCCGTACGCCTTCCCTGTAGTTTCGGAACGTGTACGACACAGGGAGGAGAGCAGCAAGGTGTGTGTATGTATGTGTATCACGGCGCGACCCGTGTGGGTGTGTGGGGGGGTTGGGGTTGTGGGGGTGGGGAGCGGGGGAGGGAAGGAGAAAATGGTGTGTGCCAGGTTAGGAGGTGTATTGAGCTATTGACTCGTTCTCAATCTCGAGGAGGACCGGGGCAAGGGCAGGAGGGTAAGAAACTGTTGTCTGGCGCCCCACACGCCAACATCAGCAACTTCTCTCCACCTTCTCCACTATCACCACCTTCCAGGCCCTCCGACAGTTTCCCGAAATGTTCTCCTCCTCCTCCTCCTCTTGCAGCCATGCCCGCAACCAGAATGTATGTATGTATGTTGTTACAGGGTGGTTAACTTCGCCAGCCGCCCCCTTTCCCGGGGCAGTCCCTGCTCTCCCCTGCGAGAGGGGCACCCTAATCCGTCACCCCATCCGACTTCAGGATGTATTCGTTGGGTTCGGCAACTCACCACCAGCATCCAACCAAATCTAGCGGATCAACGGCGCATCAACTTAGTTCCTGGTTAGCTCGCATGTTGATTTTATCACGTCCTACATCGTCCATATGATGGGGGGCCACCTCCCATTTCAACACTCATCAAATACCCGAGGAGCCGGCAGGCGGATTTGAACCCGGGTCGGCAGGGAGCAGAAGTCAGGCTTTAACCTCTGCCAGCCGCCTGCCGCCGTATGTATGTACGTATGTATGTATTATGTACGTATGCTTATGTACGTATGTATGTATTATGTACGTATGCCGTACGTATGTACGTACGCATATATGTATGTTAAATGTGTCTCCCTTGCTCTCCTCCCCCCCCCCTCTTCCCCGGCCCCCGACACCCCCGGCCTCTCCAGACCCTGACTGAGCCCTGTGAGGAGGTCCGGGTGGCGCTGGCCAGGTTGCTCCGCTGCTTGGTGACGCTGGCGGGGAAGTCGTTCGGGGGTTACGCGGGGGAGGCGGTGGAGCTGGTGGGGGCCCTATGTGAGGACCCCTTTCACGTGGTGCAGGAGGAGGCGTGTGGGGTGGTAGTGGACATGAACGGTGGGTGGGGTGTGTGAGGGGTGTGGTGTGGGGGGAGGGGTGGGGATGTAAACAGGGGAGGTTGATGGAAGGGAGTCGCGGGCGAAGGGGAGGGAGGGAAGGGGAGGAGGGCAAATGGGGGTGGGGAGGATTTTCGGAGATTTTCAGGAAGAGGGTGTGGGTGTTGTTCGGGAGGTGGTCAGTGGGGAGCTGTGGAAGGAACTTTACGGAGCCTCATGCGCCGATGCCCCATGTGTGGTACAAGACGCTATTTACGCAACCGTAACCCCCAACCCCCCAATACCCACCCACCCTCCTATCGGCTTGCGTTTAGATGTGCTGGGTTTGCGGCTCCAGCCCGTGGCTCGGCAGCTGGTGGCGGCGGTGCTGCCTCTCACCACCGCGAAGAGGCACCGGGTGCGGGTAGCGGCGCTGCAGGCGCTGAGGCCCACCATGCACCAGGTGGGGGGGAGAGGGGGGTGGGAGGGGGGTTGAAATGGCCCTCCTCAGGTCGGATAATCAAAACAGAGGTTTAGGAAGGTTTTTTGTTGGTAAGTATTATAGGTTAGGTTCACAATAGGTACAAGTTTAAAACTTCTGAAGCACCAACAGTGCGGTAGGGAAGAAGGCGAGGGAAGGGTCGGGGAAGCGACGGTGGGCGGAGGTTCGTTTTGCGTGCTCACACCATTTTGTAGCCGCTTTATTATATTATTATTATTATATTATTATTATTATTATTATTATTATTATTATTATTATTATTATTATTATTATTATTATTATTGCTCGTGTCCATTTCGTCACATAAGGACGATATGTACGATCCGCAGTCCATCTTCTTAATCTCTTGTGGGGCGTTGGCTGTTGATTGGTTTCTTTCCTGCACCATCGAATGTTCTAGAGCTATCGCAGTTATCAAAGTACAACTACTGGGCCCAGCTGATCATCTGTATCACTCCCGCCCCTTCGTTAATACTCTGTGAGGGATGGTGGGTCCAAGGCGCTGCCCCTGATTATTTACATTCCCATCTCGTGTCACATCCCAATAATGATGATGACGGTTGCGATGTTGGGTCCAACCATAACCTCAGGGCGCCCATGAGATGATTTTAGAGATGGTGGCCTGGCGGGACCCCAACGTCATTCCCGTCAAGGCTTTCTACGGAGATGACCTCAAAGTGGGCAGGGGGGTTGGGGGGAGGCGGGGTGGCGGGTGGGGAAGGGCCGCCGGGTGAAACACGCCGTGTCGTGCCGGCGGCGTGTCCAGTAGGTTGGGAGAACCCATGGGGGCCTGTCTGGGATGTAGTGTTGTACGGCTGATGATGCGAAGCTCGGGTGTTGAGGTGGGTTGAGGGGAAGAGAGGTCGGTCATGGGTATTGACACGGTGCTACGGCAGCAGCGCGGCGTGTGGTAACAGCGCTCTCCCCAAAAAACCCCTTTCCCCGCCAGGTGAACTTCTGCGGCAAGCTGGCTGCCGACCCCCACCCTGCCGTACGGCGGGAGTTCCTTGCGGTGGTGGGCGACTGGATGACAGGTTTGCGGGAAAGACTGGATCACGAGTCCCGACTGCTGCCCTTCGTGCTGTCCGCCCTCAACGATGAGGCGCCGGAAATACAGGTGCGCGCGCGCGTGTGTACGTGTGTGTGTACGTGTGTGTATCTAATCAATCTGAGCCGCGATATGGGGGAGAAATTTCGTGTGTACGTGTGGTTTCATGAATCCGTGTTTATCTGATAGATATACACACACACACACACACACACGCACACACACACGCACGCACGCACGCACGCGCACACGCGCACACGGCCCCCCCCCACACACACGCCGGTGCTGTCGGCCTTCTCCGCCCTGCAGGCCGACGCGGTGGGGCTGCTGGAGCGGTTAGGGATCCAGTACGAGCAAGATCATGAAAAAGACCTCAAAGACGCATTGTCGTACTTGCCAGAGGAAGCCCACGGCATCGGCTGGCAGGCGCCGGGTGCGGCGGGCTATGTGTACGGCACTATTGCGGCTGGAGAAGAAGCAACTGTCAACGGTAAGTAGTTAGATGGGTGCTGTTGAGTTCCGTACAAACATATGAGGGGTTGGTTGGGTATCGAGGTTGTCGGGGTTTTTGTCGGGGCTTGGCCGTGGCATCCAGAGGCGGTTGGTTGGGTGGGATGGGATGGGGATTAGAGAACCCGGGTTTCAGACCATGGGATGGCGGGGGAGCCTTTGGTCAGCAGGGATTCTGGTTATGAGGGAGAGGGCGTGAAGGAGGGGAATGCGTTGTAGGTGAGGTGGGTGGGTGGAGGAAGGATTGAAGACAGTCCGGCTGCCTTCCGACTTGCTTTGGCCCCAAAGCCCCACCCCCATTATACATACACACGCGCGCGCGCGCACACAAAACCCGGCATTTTCCTCGTCGCGGCTTAGATCACTCACACTAACACACATACGGCACATCGCACACACGCCGCCGCCCTCTCTCCCTCCCCCCCAGGCGGCCGCGCCGTCTTTGTGCTGCCCGGGCCCCTCCGCGGCCGGCCCCGTCTGGGCACTCGCCGCCTCGTGCAGTCGAACTTTGGTCGCGTGGTGGGCGCCCTGAGCGAGGAGCTGGTGTCGTGGCTGGTGGAGGCGCGGCGGCGTGCAGCTGCCCTGCTGCGGACGGAGCTGGTGCTGGTGGAGGAGTGGAGCGAGCAACACCTGCACCTGGTGATACCGGCACTGACGAAGGTGACCCTTCTGAACGCAGAAGAACACGGGTGGAGCTGGGGTTTGAGGGGGGTGAGGGGGGGCTGGGTTAGGCATTAGAAGCAGCAGTGTAATTGCCGCGTTGTAGCAGAAGCAGCAGTGGCAGTAGCAGCAGATTATATGCACCAGTAACGGCAGTAGCAGTAGCAGTAACTAGTGGCAACAGCAGCAGTAGTAGTAGTAGCAATGAGTGCAGTAGCGGCCGTAGATGCACCAGTGGTGACATCAGCACCGGTAGCGGCAGTAGCTGCGGCAGTAGCAACACACTCACAGCAGCAATGGCAGTAGCTGCAGCAGTAGGCACTAGCACGAGTTACAAGTTACAAGTGCCGCACGAGTGCGGGGGGGTCCGTCAAAGCCGGGAGGCCATGGACTATATATAATATTTTAAGTTGATTACACCGTACAACCGACGGCAGTTTGGGTCCTGCTACCTAGACCCCTCCTCATCAAGTCACCCGACATCCGTAGAGACAGATCAGCCATCACCACCAATTCAGCATGCGTTAATAAACCTAGACCTTCCGAACACTGTCGGAGGACTGACCAGGAATTGAATCCAGAACCTTCATAGGCACAAAGGTGCCACAAGTCCAGTAATGGCAATAGTGGCATCAGTGATCCGAATCCGGATCCGGATTCCGCATTTGCAGCACGGGTTTTCTTTGGCCGGTCCCTTACTCTCTCTGCCCGGTGCTGCTTCCTATCCTTGCCCTACACGTGTGCGTGTATGTGTATGTTATGTATGTTTGTGTGTGTGTGTGTGTTTTCCCTCCCTCTTTCCCCCTCTCCCTCCAACCCCCCACCCTTTTCCCTCAGGCCATCACCGACCCCGAGGTGCGGTCCCTCATTCGGGACTGTTGCGCCGTCATCGGAGCCTTCACAGACCCGGAGCTGGCGTTACAGCTGCTACAGCCGCGGCTGATGGATGAGGCGATGGCGGATTTGGGGCACCGGGCGGCGGCACTGGAGGTGCTGGCGTGTGTCATAAGGTATGTATGTACGTAAGTACCGAAGGGTGTGTCCCGCGTGTGTCTAGGGCACGGTGTATATTAGGAGGGGAAACGGGGGGGTAAGGGTTGTAGTGACGGGGGGAGGGTGTGGGGGGGGGAGGGGGAAAGGGATTTTGCACACCAGGGAAGCAGAGGAGGACGGCGTGGGAGGAGGTGGAGGAGAGACACGATGAAAAGGGGCCCGTTGAAACTCGTCGTACGTCGTATATCGTACATCGTACCTCACGCAGACGCGCACCAGGGAGGTGCGATGCTCTACCAGCTATCTTTATTTGCTCCCCAGTCACCTGACCTCTTTGCTACGGTGGTGGTGGTGGTGGTGGTGATGGTTTTGCTGCTATTGCGACTGCGCTTCCTGACGTTGCTGCTACTGCGATTGCTCTAAAGTTGCTGTTGTGTGATTACTGCTGCCACTGCTAACGCTGCTGTTGACCTTGGTGTCGCTGTGTGTACTAACACACCACTTGTACCACTTGTTCTTGTGCAATGTGTTTTTTCTTCCCACTCTCCTCCCCCTCCATGAAAACCATTATGTGCAGGGGTGCGGGTCCTCGTCGTACCATGGATCCGCACCTGGGTGCCGTACTGGAGCTCTTGACTGCGGAGTCCCTCATCACGTGCGAGGATAGCAGAATACGAAAGTAGGGTTGTGTGTATGTATGTATGTATGTATGTATGTATGTATGTATGTATGTATGTATGTATGTATGTATGTATGTATGTATGTATGTATGTATGTATGTATGTATGTATGTATGTATGTATGTATGTATGTATGTATGTATGTATGTATGTATGTATGTATGTATGTGTGTATGTATGTGCGTCGGTGCGCCTGCTGCATGTAACTGTAGCTATGTATGTGTATATATATGTGTGTGTGTATACGTAACTCTGTTTGTATGTCTCCCTGGTGGGTGCCGGTCTGGGGCCTGGTTAAGAGAAATACGTCTTTCCGTTGTTGGGTGTACGACAAAGCTGGGTTCTCTCTCCGGCCGCGGCTCCCCCACGCCCTGACCTGACCCGACTGACTGACTGACTGACTGACTGACGGCCCGCCCCCCTTGCGACTGCGGCCACCACCTCCTTGGATGCCCAGTATGCTATATCTATATACTACGGCCACTGCCTGCTACACCCTCCCTTCTCCCCGTTCTCCCGCCGTACCCGTCCTACCGGTTCCATTCCCCCCAAAACACACCCACCCACGTACTCACGCACCCTCCCCCGTTACCCCCCCCCCCCCCGCCTTGCATAGGGCCCTTCTGGAGGTGGTTGAGCAGTTGGTGGCCACTTGCGGCCCGGCATGCAACCGCCATAACTCCCAACTGCTGTGGCTGTGTTTGCATCTGAGAGCGCCGGGGAGGGAAGCCACGGCTCTCCAGCCGCCACCGCCGGCAGTAGCAGCACCGGCAGTAGCAGCGCTCGGGACTCCGGGAGAGGCGGCGGCGGCGATGGAATCGGGCACTGGCGGCGGGGGCGGCCCCGGCGGGGCGGTGGTGGAGGCTTCGCTACTGCCTCGCCTCGCTGAGGTGTGCGGTTTCAGCGGCGGCGTGGATGAGATGATGGAGGCGCACCGGGCGGAGCTGCTGGCACAGGTGTGTATCTGTATGTATGTATGGTGTACGTGTATGTACCCGCCCCCTCCCCTTTCATTACCCAACGGCCCCTCTTTCATCCGGCGCCCGATCGCAACCAACCAAACCGCCAGCCAGTCAGCCAGCCAACCACCGTTGCCACTTCCCCGTGTGCCACTTCCGCAGTTGGACCCCAGCAGCTCCCCCAACGTGCTGCTGGCGACTGGCGTCCTCTGCCGTCTCATTCTGCCGTACAGCTCCTTGTCGTACCTGCTGTACCTCCCCGATGAGGTTCTTGGACGCGTCCTGCCCCCGGAGCCGCCCTCCAACCAAACCACCTCCCCCCTCACCACCACGCCTATGGAGCTCGACGACAACAACAACGACAACGACCAAGACGCTGACGGCGACGCCGGCAGGGCGGCGGCAGTGGCGGCAGCGGTTGAAGAAGCCGCCACTGACGCCATGGAGGAGGACGGTGCTGGCAGAGCAGCGGCAGCGGCAACGGCGGCACCATCACCGTCTGGCCGTCGGCTGGACTTATATCAGCATCCGCACGCCCACTCCCGTTCCCGCTCGAGCTGGCTCTGGTTCTGGCAGTCCACCAGCACCAGCGCCGTGTTGTCGCACCTGAAGGCGGACCTGACCTCCTGGCTGCCCCGGCAACCGCGATGTGCCATGATGTGTCTCATCAGCCTGGAGGCGTGTCTCAACAACCTGCCGGTACGAGACCAGCCAACGGCAGCGGCAGCGGCGCCGCTGCCACCGCCTGACGAGCAGCTGGCGACGGTTCTTATCCTTGCACTTGGGGCCTGTAAAGATCTCAGTCCGCCGGCGTTGCTGGCGGCGCTTCGATGCGCACACGCTGCGTTGCGGCGACGGCTCCTGGCGGCCTTGACCACCACCAGTGCCGCTGCTGCCGCCAATGCCCCTGCCAGCGGCGGCGGCGGCGGCGCACTTCACACGCCACCTCCGCCAGCGCCAGTGCATGTGCGGTTGTGGAGTCAGCTGGTTCAGCGGCTGGCCGACTGCATGTCGCTGGTCGGTAGCGCGGCGTGCCGGTTGCAGGCGTGCAACGTCCTTGAGATGCTGGTGGGGTGTCCCGACGCTGCTGCAGCAGTGCTGCTTAGCTACTATGGCGACGACGACAAGGGTGGTTGTGATGGCGATGTTGATGGTGGTGATCACGATGACGGTGATGGTGGTGTGCCCGCCTTACAGACCATCTGCACTGCGATCTCGTCCAGACTGTACGATGCTGCGGATGAGGTTCGTTGTGCGGCGCTGGCGCTGGCGCGGCAGGTGGTCGTGCTGGTCGCGTCGGCGTCGCAGGAGGGAGGACGAGGAGCGGCGGGAGGAGGTTCCCTGGAGGGCATCGGCAGCGGGAGAGGCGGCGGCGCAGTGACACGGCTGTTGACCGAGATATCGCAGCTGCGGGATGTGTCGCCCGGTAGCGGCTTTTACGACGAGTGGCATGCGTTTCACGGCTGGATGGAGCAGCTAGGGCGATAGGTGATGATAGCGCAGTACGCACGTGTTTTGTCGATGCTACAGTCGTATGACGCGACAATGAGGAGGCTTGTCGTTGTGTGTGTGTGTATATGTGTGTGTGTATGTGCGTGTGTATGTGTGTGTATTTATTACATCTGCCCGGCACCTAACCATACCTCATCGGGGCGACCCCCGAAGCATTCCGCTCCAGTTGCGGAGGGGCACATGTAAATCCAACCACATTGTCCGCTCACATCCACAGCCCGCCTGAGGCCACAGTCCTCCCCTTCTCCTCACAGGGCTGCTAAGCTAAGCCCCCACTCCAGTCCTAGCGCAGGAGGACTCAATCCTCCCTAGCGACCGCACAGGCAGCACACCCGCAGTTCCCATCCACCGCTTGAAAGCCACCAGAGAAGCCACACCCTGGCGGCCTCGTACCACCAACTACCTGCGGACTCAATCATCCTCATCACTTGTCCTATTTTACGAATAATTTACGGACGTTTCGGAATACGTGAAGTGTGTTCTAATTAAGGGAACGGAGGGAGGAAAAAGGGGAAGGAGGGAGGAAAAGGGGGAAGGAGGGAGGTAAAACGGGGAGGAGAGAGGAACAAGGGGAAAGGGAAGGGAAGAAGCAGAAATTTGCAGATTTAGGTGCATAATTAGGGGGTTTCGGGCTGCGCAGCCCCCGGGTAGTTCTGCCCCGACACTAAACCTGACGAAGGATGTTCCTCCCCTTGTTTCCTCCTCGTCCACTTGTGGTTGCCGTCGGAGGCTGGGGCCGGTTGAACAGGAGGAAACTGAACTGGCGCAGTACGGCGGGCATGCATCGCTGCCTCACCAGTCTCAAACACACTTGCGAAATCATGTCCAAACTGAGTATCATAGCGGAATTCCAAGCTTTTTTTTTCGTCGCCTCTAGTTCAAGAGTTGTCAAACCTTACAGGCACTACGGTGCATTCTAACACGTCCATCACAGCGGTGTCATGATGGGCTCTACCATCATAGCTCAAAGGTCAGCCGCCAACAGCAAATGTACGGCAACGTGGAGCTCAGATTGGCTGCTCGGGTTTCTGTTTAGCTTTGCACGTTGAGACACAGCAGCACAACTATCGACCAATGCAGCTGCGCATGGAAAGGAGCTTAACCAATATTTCTCGGTATCCTGGTGTGCGCTGTGAGGCTCATGTTATGGCTCCCAGCTTCTTTTCTGCTGCCCCCTCTGTGGTAACTCGCCATGCACGCGACTCTGTGGCATGATGGCCATCACATAACACTCCAATTAATCCGTATCTGCAGCGCGCCAGTGACATTGCTAGCTTCGATTGGCCCTATCATGTCAGGGTAAGGTAGGTTGTGGAGGCCAGATGTCAAGGAATGTCATCAGGTTGCAGTTCAGTTGGGGCAATGACTTCGTGCTGTGCAATGGTGACCACTGCAGCGATGGCGATGGCAGTGCAGCTGTGGATGGCAGTGATCGCCGGAGTGTTAGCAGCGCAGTGCCCACGTATATGTTGTAAATTTTTCTCCCACAGCATGCGGATTTAGCTCAGTTGGGAGAGCGCTAGACTGAAGATCTAGAGGTCGCTAGTTCGATCCTAGCAATTCGCAGATTGTTGCATGTCGTCCGTGTATTTTATATATCTGGTTTTTTGATTCTAAGATCAGCGGCGTGTGAGACAAACGTCAGGGCAAATGCAACAGTCCATCAACAACTTCTTCACTATACGCACATGTACTGGAGTCCGCAACCGTGATCATTGTGTACCTCAAAGATCAAGTTCTTAGCAACTGTGGTGTCAGTGATACTTGCATTTCATGGCTGTCCGATGCGCGGTGCCACGAAACGTTGTTCGGAACAGAAAAGCTGCAGGGCACAAGCATAGGTTCAAGCTGTAACAGGCTGTTATAGTTCATGCGTCTGTACAGTCAGATATAGCTGGCTGGTGTTAAGTGTCCTTGATGATAGGATACATGTTACCTTTGTCGTCCTTGTCCGTTTGTTCGGTTATTACTGGGTTGCGTAGAAGATATGTAGGAATGTAGGAAACGTGCAATATATTGTTAATAAGAACCAAATCCATACAAGCACACTTTATACTTCACCCTACCCCGGAAATATGCTCGCACAGAGCTGGGAGCCATGCGCAAAGAACGACATCCGTGAACCCGATCACCTGATCGGGTTCGCGGAGCTTTTCCCGCTGTATCGCTTTTGATGGATTACGTTTACTGATTGTATTACGGTCAGATCCGCTTGGATAACATGCCGTTCATTCATCTCCACATCTGGCCGCCTCACTTCTCCGAGTCTCGTCTACGCAACTTCTCCTTATTCAGGAAGAACCCAGGACCGTACCAGGACGCACATATCAGTGTCCGCTTTCAGCGTCAAGATCTTGCCAGATTCTATTCAGAAAGTGTGCAAAAGCACAAGAGCACGAAAAAATCCACACGTAGAGATGCGTGCAAAATGTTTGGGTGCCGACAAGTTGGGTGTTAGCTTCCTCGAAGCCGGAAAAAGGGCGGGGCCCCCCTGCATCCGTACAGGCCGGTGGCTAGGGCGGCACGTGTGACAATTGATGGGTAGTGTCAACGTGGTGGGAGGTGTGCTTGCAGCAGTGCTGATGCTGTGGGAGCTATGCTTGCAACGGCGGAATTGTCAGCACCGCCTGCAGGCGCCACGTGTATCGCGTCCAGCCCGGCTGCATGCCGCATGGACAGTGCGGCAGACCGCAAGTCGGAAAGCCCGTGCGGGCAAATGGTAATGCAAGCTGGGTGAAGTCCGGTGCTGTCTGTGATGTTTATCCCTGTAGGGATTGCTTTAGCAATGTGCCCCACAGCCGCGAGCTTCATCGCGGCACACTGCAACTCTTCGGAGGCCCCGACCATTGGCCAAATTAATTGTACAAACGAGCAGCTTGCGTATTTCATAGAGAAATCAAAGCAAATTTGTCGGCCTGCTGGTGGCAAGTCGGAATGCCCGTGCGGGCAAATGGTAACACATGCTGGGTGTTCGAGTTATCATACCCCGTCATCTCAGAATCCAATTATGAGATACGCGGCACCTTTTGAGATTATAAATTAAGCCCGAGAGGCGTTGATGGGACTTTGACCTCCGTCAATGGAGGCAGCCAAACTTGTTTGTGCTCATACGACTTTTCCTGGCTACAGGCGAGATACCTTGCAATATATTACCAATGACTTCGCATTGCGGCGCCCATGGAAATCGTTAGCTCCAGTTCCGTGCCTATGTACACGTCTCATCATCAAGACCGCGCAGGTGTAGTAGGTGGTACACAATACGGCTCACTAACTACAAATTCGCGCAAAGCGCTTGACCAGCATCTCGGGAGGCCTTCTCAGCGGCCAGCTACCACAGCACTAGTGTTTCCAAGAAGCACGCGCGCGAAAAAGACCACGGGGATGACCTGGTCCAAGATGCAAAGAAAACTTGCTTATCGGGTTTGGTTTGGTCCCAAGTGTCATACAAGCGACAGATAGACAGACAGGCACACACACACACACGCACACACACACACACACATAAAAGCGCAAAAACAGCAGCAGCAGTATCAGTGCCAGTACCTTGCCGATATGCCAATTGCAACCCGCAATGACACATCGGGCCAGTCAACCAATGCTTTGGCTTCACATCCCCAAGTAAATGACGTGTGCCCGCATCAGCGCATTATTTCGCCGCAAGTTCAGAAACCAAAGACGAGCAAAATCCAAATCCGCATTTTATTGTGATCAAAGAAACACGCCGACAATGGTAAACGGCAGTAAGAGTGTCCCATGTGTGGCGCCATACGAACACTCTGACGTACTAGCCTGGGTTTCCGTGCTCTGCCCACTCTGCAATCTCATCTCATCATGGATTGCACCCTGGGGGCTGCGGGGGGTTGCACAACCATTTATCATTGTGTTTTCGTCCCACATTCATTCATTCATTTCGTTTCGTTTCACACATCAATTTGTTCGCCACGCCATTCCTGGTTTCACTCGGCTATCCATCGCTGTCGTCTGGGGCCCCACCCCAACCCCGCGGTTTTGTCCTCCATGGCCCCGTGGTCAGACATCGCCGGTGCCGCGGGCGTAGCCGCTCGCTTGGTTTTCTTTCCATTTCCATCATACCGACTAGCCTAGTATTACCTACTACACCGCAGATGCGCACCGGGGTCCCATCACCACGATGAGCAGGATGACAACCGCCCACCGCTTTCACACGAAGCGTATATGTATCGACCCTTCCTTATTAGCCGACAAATTATATACACCCCTTGCAGCCCTAATTCCCCCGGGTTGTCGCCGCCGTCAACCAAACAGCCAAAATAGACCTTTGTACAAAGTAACCGCTGAACCACTACGTACGATGACCATTGCTATCCGTTTCAGGATATCCGTTCAGGTATGTGCATTTGTGTAGAAATAAAGGTTCGCACCATCATGCACCGCGCATCAAGCAGCAGGGCCTACATGTGGATTGACGGGGCAAGCCTTGGCTCCGTCACTCCGAGTATGTGGGCACCAATTCCTTGCGCCGTCGTCGCCGTCGTTGCTGTCCATGTAGCACCAGCAGCTCCAGCTCCAGCTCCAGCAGTAGCTGCCCCATGTTGCCATGTATCCCATCCGTCCAAGTAATTGTTGATTATGCGTTGTCGACGCCCTTGGCTGGCTGCGATGCGGCGGGTGAAGGCGAGGTCTTCGTGGCCCCTACCGAAATTGACACATTGACTCCCGCGGAGCCCATTCCCAGGAAAATAATTAGCAGCATGAGGGCCATCGACATAATGATGAAGCCGGCCAGAGCGGCTTCAGCTGAATGAGCGGGATGGGGGGAGGAAGGGGAGAAAGGGGAGGAAGGGGAAGGTGTGAGAGCCATGGGGGGGATGGAAATTTACAAAACGCTCTGAATAGTCACGTCGCATGCAAGGCCGTGCAAAGTGAGCTCAATGCGGGGAGCCCTGGTAAATTGAGGGAGAGGAATGATTGAATGAAAATGTGTTGCTGTGGAAGGTCGCGTTGTCGCGCATATGCACACGTGCACATGCGGTGAATGCTATCTTCCCAAAATGGATACAGGCTGGCCACAGACTTCTGCGTCTAATCCACAAAGTTTGGCCCGCCAGGTTGACAATCCGGTACTCCTCCATGATCACAGGCAAAGTAACACATGGCCCATTTACAGCTGCGATCTAGTGGTCGACGGCGGGTCGATGACTTGGAAGTCGCTGGGTACGACTGCCTTACGTATACGTGCAATGTCGTGCCGAACATGTCGAAATTGTGGTGAGATACAGGTGCTGCAATGGCGTCAATGTGCGATGTATGGTGCGAGCGGATGGATGGATGGATGTTACAAGCTTCAGCGAGCTTGTACGGCTCGGACGAACCCGGAGGCTCATGAACCGCTTTGACAATGCCAAAGAGAAAAAGTCAACAAAACAGGATTAAGCAAAAACGACAAAGAGCGTCAACCTTGGCTCTAACGCAAATGCCTGTTATCGCAGAAGAAGTTAGAAGGTGCGAGCGGTCTTACCCGCATCGGTTACTGCGTCGTACATTGCGTTGACGTCGATCATGGTTACGGATAAGCAAGCAGCGCAAAACACCTGCGCAAAGAGAATCCGGATGTTCAGCTTTTTTCGTCGGATAGGCTCATGGTCCCGCATAGCTGCGAGGTTGCACTTGGCGATGCACACCTGTAATGTGACACTCCATGCATCCGCCTTGCCGAAAATCTCGAGGAGGAGGATAATGACTGTTAAGAAGAAGGTGAACCAGATTCCCCACTGCGGTTGAAGGTTGGAACATGTCAGCAGGCGCCATGGGTAGGAGCTGAAAGGCCCAAACTTACCCATTGGTACCGGTATTGGTCAGAGCAATCCTTGTGCGAATATCTTCCTGATCCATAACCACTATTAGCTTCATCGACTTGTTTGTTGCAGGTGTCGTTCAACTGCAAGTTGTAAGGATTTAGCCGGAATGAGTTTTTTGCACACCAACCAGACACGAGTGCCCGCAGAATATACATCAGTTCACTCAAAGCTGGTGATTTGCGTCTAGTAATATGCCGTCGCATTCCCGGGCGCGTACCGCTGCGATGCCGCCAAGAGCTACCGCCCATCCTATGAGCGCAAAAACGGCGGCGATGATAACAAGGACCTTGTTGCTGATACTCGCCATTTCGGCTAGTCGTTTAAGGAGATGACTCTGAGCTTAAAATGCTGGTGGTGATATAGTGATATAAACAGCGCGGATGTGATGCACAGGGAATTCACTGTCGGTAATGCATTAGCGAGCTCTGTTTATTTTGCCTTGTTTATATGAGGAGGTACAGCGTGACGTACAGGATGACTAGGACAGGGAAGGCGGTTGGAGCACGACTGGAAGGGATCGGGACGACAAGACTTATAAAGGGAGAGACTTCGCATGTGATATCCGCCATGCTCATAATTAGTTATCGATAAACATATATATGGGTCTGGAACAGTAGCGTACAGTAGCTTCCGCTATGGACGAGCAAGGTTTTGAAGTCCCAGTTGTTTTTGGTTTCCGCGAAGCTGTTCAACTTTAAGAAGCCCGGAAAACTGGAAAAGAAGTGGAAACGTTTCTTCCTCACGCGGTGTGGCTCTACTACTAATATACATAGCTAGGCTTTGGTAAAACCTGCGAAAAACATTTATACCATGAAATAAATGCGCGAAGGATGGTTGAGGAAGCGCTTTCTTGTGTCTTAAGCCGTATTCGAGGCGCCTAGGAGGGGGCCGTGGGGTTCCAGGGTCGACAGCTACCTAGCAGCTGATCCATACTGATCCATAGCAGCCCATCCCGCCGACCTATCGTTCTTTTCGCGTCCCTGCCTGTTGCCCATCCATACAACCTCAAGGTAGGCAGCGCGTCTCCCGAATGGAGCGAGCGGCGCGTAACAACACGGCAGATGAAGCATCCTCTCGACCACGTGCATACAATTTACATGTAGCCAACAACCACAAATGCCAACAAGATAGTATCGGGGGGCATACCAGCGCAGTTGACAGCACGTGAACGCCTGGCCGGCCGCAATCCAGGGTGTGCTGCTACGGCCAGTGATGGACATGCACGGAAGCTTAGGCAGCTTAAGCACCATACCTGCAGTTGCCAGCAGCCTAGAAATCTTGAGGCGGGATGGAGGGGAGGGGAGGGAGGTAAAGTTCTATGTAGGGATTGTAGAACTGGGAAACTCAGTATGATCATGGACAAATGTTGAAGTAGGATTCAACACTTCACGCATCACGTGCTCCAAACGCATGTGAAGGCAAGACGGACCGCTGACAGGACTCGCTCGCGGTCCTATCCCAGTTGTACTGCATCGTCAAAATGTGACATGCAAGCTAAGCAAGCTTACGTAGCGCAAGGCGAGCGGACTGGGGACCCCAGCGTGACATGCCGCTGCACACATACACACACACAATTCCCCAACCCGCCACCTCCAGCACACGTATAATCTATATGCAGCCTTTCAAGCCCACTTCCACATCTGGCATGCCAAATTTGCATTCTATTGGTATGGGTCATCCTTGTTACGGTACGCTGCTTAGCGTTTCCAGTGTTGACGGGTGCAGTTAGAGAGCACTGCCACGGCCCTGGAGTCTATCTTTACAAAATCCCTGCATTTACTTTCGGTGAATGGATGGAAGGAAACAATTGATGTACAATTGATAGACGTGACGTATCGCGACAGGTTTCTCGATGGTGCTTGCGTGCGCTGGATTTTCATGAGTCCAACTGGCTTGTCAAACAGGTCAGGTCTTTCATCCTGTCCCAGACGCCGGGGGCATGCAGGGTTCAGCCCATCGGGGCTGCGTTCCGCGTTACTGAACACGAAGAGGCCATGTCAGCAGTCCTTGTTGCGGAGCCCGCTTAAGCTGGAGCGAGAACGCAAAACACACCGCTCACCTCATCGGCGACACCCCCTACATGGCGAGAACAGCTCCAGCAGCGGATCTAGTTTTCTACGCCGCCTTCTGCAGGTGCTGGCAATCTCGCCCCACATTCTATTATGCTTCTTGCCTTAGTTGCTTGCTGGCTTCATAGGGTCATTTCGTTGCATTTGCCTGCTCCAAGGCTGTGTCGGGGACTCGGCCCTCGTGATTTCCCACAATATTGTCCACCTCCGTCTTTAGATGCAGATTCAGCCCTTTTCCAGAGCCTTGAAGCCCGTAATTTGGCTACGTCGATCACACGGCTTCGTGGTCCATTCCAGCTATAACCTTCAGGCGCCGCTATAACACTGGTCTATTCACGTAACTATGTTCCTCCCTAAATTAGCAGAAAGTACTGGCAGATGGCTGGAGCAACATCTCCCACAGGATGATCCTTGCATTGCAAATCTTCGTTGCTGTCCGGGCTACGTAAGATCCAACATTTTGACAAATAGATAACAGACTAAGACGTTCGCAGGGAGGTATCTAATCGCAGTCCTTAAATAGCGCACCCAGCTGTTTTTGGACGGTTGACCATTTGACCGAGTACGGATGCAGAAAATGGTAGGCAGGGCGAAGGTTCCTAGATGCCGTTGCCTGTAATCACTTCAACTTTGCTGTTGCTATAATTTGGGTGAACTTATAGTTGCTTGAAAGAGGTTAGAAGATTGAAAACACAGCCATAAGTGATAAACTCAGCACTCTGGTCTTCCTTTTCCACGTTGGCGAGCATTTTTGTGATTCAGACGTTCCGTCTTGCATCGAAAGCACGCTATGCACGGCTGTCAGACCTTGCGGAAACGGACGCGATAAATTCTTTGAGCCAGGCAAGACTCACTTAAAGGACAGTGAAGCTGCGCTTGTGCTCTACATTTTAAGTATTCGCGGGCCTCAGCTGGACCTGTGATCAGCAGCCAGAGAACCCTGAAATGGAGCCACTTACAGAGCACGGCCTCGTCGCCGAGGTTGCGACTGGCACTTTCAGCTTTAAGAATAAGATAAGTGCATCATCCGTCAAGACCTTGTGGGAGAAGCTGGCTCGCTTCGTTGCCGGTGAGACCCCAGGGTCGGCCTATGGCCATGTTGAAGGGCTGAAGACCAAACAACAGGGCTATGTCACCGCGCATTACCTTCACAGATGCACTCAAGCAGCAGAAAGGTGTGTTATTGCCCAACTTGGGAACTTTCAGCGTGGGCCCCGTGGTCGGTGAGACGCGCAAGAAGGTCCGCCCTTCTTTCGCCCTCCTCGAAACCCGCTACTCAACAGTCTCTCAGGAGCGACCCAAATACTCCATCGGTAAGTCGCAACCTTACTGTGCATCTCAAAATCCTCAATGCTTACACCATGCAAGATCGTTTTCCATACACCCCCCCCCCCCGATAAACCTCCTCCACGGAAGGCACAGGGCTTCTCACCTCGGCCCAGTCGGCCGCCTTCTTGCTGCAGGTGGGCGGTGCCCTGTGGTGCAGCCAAACTATGGCCTCCTGGCCACAGCCGCAGCTGTTCACCGTGGCTCCTGCCAGCGGTTGGTGCTGGAACTGATGCAACGGCTGGGAGTCCACATCTTGTCCGGACGGGCCATCCAGGTGGGCGAGCGTCCGCAGCCATGGGTCCAGGGTTTGGAGATGAATGGGCCGAGCGTGCAAAGGGGCTGAAATCTGGAATTGCAAAAAGGATGAACCTGGACAAGGTTCCAACAATGGGCAGCCATCCCTGCTGCTCCCCTGTACAGCGTAGTGCACGGTTAGAGCTGCAGCGCGTTTCAAAGAGCGTCACATTAGCCTCGTTCTGTTCTCGCCGCTGCTTCTGCAGCAAATACCACTGCGTACAACATGTTTGCTTACTGTTGGAATAGCCAATACGCTGCACGTACGTGCACGGGTCATGGCGCGGAGCCGGGGCGCCGTGCTCGCTGTTGCAATGTGTCAGTGTCCGTGTTCGTTTGGGAAAAATAGAAAAACACCATCTTCTGTCGAAACCCCGTACCAAATAATTTGAAATGCATGTGCACATGCGCGATTATGCACCCAGGTCGCCTTCCCCGGGGTTGGCAAGCTCTTCACCAACAGAGCCGGTCGGATACAATTCGATTTTGACTCGCTGCTTCGGGAGTTTTTTGAGCTGGAACGCGAACGGATCATACCCGAGGTGTGATGGCGCGTGTCTTGCAGGAAACAGGAAAGGCATGTGCACGGTCACGCACACGCATCTGGTCCCTTTATCGGTGAAGGGGTAATACTCCTTTGTGCTCCTCGTGTATGGGTGAGGGCGCAAGATGGAAGGGAGGCCAAGGGAGCACGCGCGCCGTGCGGCGAATGGGGGCAGCGCTTTTGTACACAGCGGGAACGCAGCACAAGAGGTTTGGGCTCCAGCTCAGCACCTGGCGGCAATATGCCGCCGCGCAGGGCGATCCCGGAAACGATAATAAGGGGCTAATGTCGTGACTGCGGAGAGCTGCGGGCATTCCATGTGTTTCGGCATACTCGCCAAACCTAGTTTGCCAAACCTGGGTTTGCGGAACTGCACGAGAGGCGGACCAGGTCCAGCATTGCCCGGGACACGGGGGAAAGAGACTTTGGACATGGCGGCATGGGCCCCGCATGGATAGCGCTGGATAAGGCCTTTCATGATCTTCATGCGCGCGGCTCGGTGGGCATCGCGCGATAACTGCCACCTCTCCCACTGCACCCCCTGCAGCGACCTCCCAGTAATCTACTGCATTGCATTCCTGCTACATGCATCACACCATGCGTCCACGCGGCCTTTTTCCGCCTTTTGCTGATACGGAACGAGCTGTCCTTCCTTTCAGATGGAGCAGGACGTGGCCGCAGCACCGGAGGGCGACGAAAACTCAGCCGTGGCCCAGGTTGTCAAGGGCCTGCAGCACGTGCACCTGCACGACCCGCCAGTCATCCGGAGTACCAGGTATAAAGGGTACCTGTGTGAGAATACTGCTTGTGTTCTGGGCGCAGTTCTGCAGGCACTGGCGGACTGGGCCGAAAGCTGGAGGGCTACCTCGGAGGACGCCTTGGCCTCGATGGACGGGGAGGGGGGTCCGCCTTCAAACTCTGAACACGACACACGCACATGATAGTGTGGAACAGATTCCCCCAGAGGAACACCATTAAAGGAAAAAGATTTATTATGGAAACGCGGCGGCAGAGCTACTGGAGCGCTCCGTCCAGCGCTTGCTTCATTGCTTGGGGGCCATCATCCGCCCGGCGTTACGTTTTTCATGGCGTTCGCAGGCCAGCGACAGGCGCGGCGGCCGTCACGCCGGGGTCTCCGTCGGCACGTGTGAAACGCAACACGCACGCGCCATACAAGGGGGAGCTTCTGGAGCTGTGGCGACTGTGTAAGAGCAACGACAGGTAAGGCGCGCACCTACACCTATCGCCGCGCCTGGAAGGAGGGCGCAGGACGGCAAAAGCGCATCCGCTATTGACATCGACTCATGATGTTCACCTTCAACCCTGGTTGCGATTTTAACTTCAAGAGCTTGTCTTTCATTCTCTTTATGTTTGTGCTTGGGTTTGATATCATGCGCGGCCCGGCGCCGTAGGAGCACCACACCGCCTGGGCCAAGGGCACATCACCCAGCTGTCGTGTAACCTCACCGCTCGGTCCCGGGTGCTGCAGGATTGGCTCGGGCTGCGTTCCGAGGTTGCAGTTGGAGCAGTGGCTGTACAAGGAGTGCCCCCAGGTGCTGCGGCAGGTGGCGGCGGCAACCGTCCTGGAGCTCCTGTCCACCCACACCTACGGCAAGTGAAATGCGCAGACGGGGCTGCGTACTGGCTTCTTGTGTGGTGGTGCGTAAGGTTGGGGGATGAAGCGACGTCCATGCGTGTATGAAAGGCGTGCGAGACATGCAAGCAGCGTTGTTTGCACCTTAAACCGCGCTAGCTCCCACGTCTCACTGACTTTCTGATGTGGTGGGTAAAGCCGGGAACGGCAAGGTCCCATTTAGCATGGAAACGTACATTGTGGTCCCGATACTGCTGAGTTGGCAGAAACCGAGCCGTTATACACATCGCTACCTCAGCAGTTCCTTCTTGTGGCTCAGGCTTCTCCCGGACCACGCCCGCACGGCATACGGTGTGTACCGCGCAGGCAAGTCGGGGAAGCACATTATCTACAAGCCCTTCCTGGATCAGCTAGATGGAGCGACTGGCAAGGTGCGAATGGAATGGCCCCCGCTCGATCACATAAACCGGGGCCCGCCTGCAGCAATCAGCGCAACATCATGAGAGCTACCCCTAGCCGGAAAGTGGGCGGGTGAGGAGCCCTTTCGGGCTCTATCTCCCTGGAAGACATTCAGGCGTTACAGGGTGGCGCCAAGTGGTGATGTGGTGAACCGTGTACCTAACACGGTTCGGTGTTTAAGCCGTACCGCACGACCGACGGTGGCGTTCGGAACGAAAGAGTCTCGCATGGGCGCCGCCTGGGCTCAGCGGTCCATGACAAGGTGGTTACGCTCGATGAGATCGCTGTCGTCGTGAGTTGCGCACTCAAGTTTTGAGTGTTGCGGATTTGGGGTTGTGCGAGTCCTTTTGAGTCCTGATGGCGTCTTGCTTCCCCGGCCCTAATGTTCTCCTCAGGAGGTCAACTCGCCACAGCGTGCCAACTCGCCGGCGCGCGTCATAGAGGTGCGCATAGACAGCCCTTCCTCGGCGCTGCGCCGCCGACAGCAGCAGCAGCAGCAGCCACTACAGCAGGACTACGAAGACGGCGGGGAGCCCGAGGTTGTCGAGGTGGGAGACGTCAGGTTTCAAGGGCTGGTTGGAATGCAAGGCAAAAGAGTGCGTGGTGGCACATTTTTCATTTTACGTTACTGCCTTTGATTGATTGCTCGGCAAGCGCCCTGCGCCAATCATCACAGCTACGGCAACTTCACATCATAGGCATGATTGCTCCACGACGGCCGAACGGTTACGCAGCCTAGGTGTCCATCACTAAATATCCTCTGCACGCGTACTGTACTACCGTTACCGTTCCGCGCTGTGTGAATCGCTGACGGGTGGACCAGCAGCAGAGGAACTCTGTCCTCATCCTCCGCTGCCGCAGGTGACGTTGTCGCCTGTCCAAGGCCAGCCGCCATCGCCCTGGCAGCTCCCGACAGAGGGACAGTACCCATCCCAGCCGCAAGGACACTACTACCCTTCGCCACAACAGCCTTACCCCTCGCCGCAGCCCTATCCATCATACCAGACGCCGAAATCCCAGCTCCCCGCCCAGGGCCAGTACACGCAACCGCAGCAGCAGCGACCTTACGCGGCACAGGGCCAGTATGCACTGCAGGGACAGGGGCCGCAATACCAGCAGTACCCGCAACAGGTCCCGGCAGGACAACAGGCAGTCCAGCCTCCGCAAACAGGGAAGTCGCAGCAGCTGGCACCAGCTGGTGGCCCAAAGCCGGCATGCATGCCAGGCTCCGCTGTTCCCGCCTGGCAGGGCCAAGGCCAAGGCCCTGACCAGGTGCAGCGATCGGAATCTTCGGGCTCCAAGCCGTACCACTACTACCAAAACAAGCTGTCGCCGCGATCCCGGCGCGAGTTTGACAACTTCAACCGCATCCATTTTCAAAAGCTGGAGCAGGTAAGCATTGTTGACCTTTTGGAAGGCTAAAGTGTATAAATCCAAGAATTGGGATAGAGATTGGACGCGTGAATGTGGTCAAGCCCTGATTGAGGTGGATTGGTCCAGATGTAAGGGTGAGGCGGGATGGCGGTGTACGTTTGTGTTTGGTTCGCTGTGTTAGATCCTCCCGTGGTCGCTCTGATGCTATTGTTGTGTGGCGACTGTAACAGGTTCGCGGTTCGGACTACAAGCAGCGTGCAGTGACACCGAAGGTGGGCGAGGACGAGCTCAATCTGCAGGAGTACCAGGCCATGCGGCGGCCGGGCAGCGGCGGAATGCCTACGGAGGTGCTGGACCTGCAGGACGACCCGCCATACAGCCGGGAACCTCATGTGGGTACGGCACATCTTATGAAGACCTGAAATATATGGACGATAAAAGGGTGTCGGTCTTTCAGTGCCCGGCAAGTGCTGCAAATATTCGCGTGTTTTTACCTAAGCCCCTGGCTTCCATCTGCTCTCCCCCACTCCCCTCAATATGTAGCCCTTCGTCTCGGCGCACCGGCAGCGAGGTTCGCCTGGGCCCAAGCCGCAGATTTTGACGCTGGCGCACGACCCGCCCTCGTATGCCGTGCCCGGGCTCCCGACACACCAGTATCAGTGCCAATCGCAGCAGCAGCAGCAGCAGCATCCCATGACACCTGGGCACCCGTATCCCGCACGGCAACCAACGCCGCAGCAGCGGCCGTGCTCTGGACGGCAGCAGCAGCACACGCCGGCTCAGGAGGAATCTCCCCCCATCTCACAGTACGAAATTATCAACGAGAAGGATCCTATCAAACGAAGGCTCAAGCGCAACGAACTGGCAAACGCCCTAAACCGCAACTGGTCGGAGCAGGCAAGTGATGGATATGTATAATGGTCAGGCTATCAAATTTTTACGAGTTGCGTTTGTACGTAATCCTCATTTGTTGTCCGCAAGGTTGTAAAGGATGCCTTTTCCCGCCTTTGCTCATGCTGCAGATACGGGAAAAGGAGGCCGTACTGGATAGCCTCGCAGAAGCCCAAGCCCAATGGCCGTATGTGCCCACACGCCAGCCAAATGACAAGCGACCGGCTGATGCCGTCAGCCGGCCCCTGTCAGCATGGCTCCCGTAAATGCGCGTGGCAGAGGAGAGCGTAACAAGGGTAAACACAGTGGCTAAGCAAGCTTTTGTGCGTGTCAGGACATGCCGGGTTCTGCCGTGAGCTTGTGTTCTTATCGTTGCTTGAGACATGCCCCGCACATGGTCGGAGGTTTCGTCCCGTACTGTAGTACGAATTGACAGCCGATTCGTGATTTCGTGCCAGGGCCATTGTTCCGAATTATTAATGTGTTGAAGTTTTGTACAGCTGTACAAGGTTCCCGAAAAGCGGTGATCGCTGTGAACTGGATCAAAGCCATAGCGCTAATCTTTTTGACGTTCATGGGTACTTTTAGCGCGACAACGTAATTAGCATTCAGTCTAGTCCACTTTATTAAACATGAGCGTTACGGCAGCGCAATTGAAGGAAAAGCTTTTGGCGTCGCTGGAAGCGGACGTTGTGGTGAGCATTGTATCAAGCATTCATGTGTAAGGTTCTCTAGTTTGCTTCTAAGCATCACGTCGCTCGTTTGCAGGAAGTCATTGATACTTCTGGGGGGTGAGAGGATCTACGACAGCCATCCTTGTTACATGTTGGTTCCCGGCAGCACCCAACTGAACAATTACCGTGCTGCTCCCCATCGCCCCCTCGGGTGGGTGCTACATGCCCTCATATAGCTGCGGTGCAGCGTTTGAAGTTGCCATCGTTTCCAAGGCCTTCGACGGCAAAACGCTAATCCAGCGTCATCGACTGGTACGCCTGATGGGATCGTTTGCCGTAATCACATCTAGCTGAAAATTCCCGGCAACCGCAGGTAAATGAGGCACTCAAAGAAGAAATGGCTTCCATCCACGCGCTATCCATCAAGAAATGCTGGACCCCGCAGCAGGCAGCCGCGCAGTGAACGTTTGCCGTAACAAAACTACGCAAAGGGTGGGAAAGACGTTTTGCACGGTAACCTGCGTCGACATTACGGCAGTACATTGCATCCAGCTCTGCGTGACATAAAATCCTATGGCTCTAAATACCTTGTAACCAATGTCCGTCCGCGACATCTTTCCATAGCCCAGACACATTGCACCCAAAAGCAGTGTAAAAATCCGCAGCTGCCCACCTGCTGGCTTGCTGAGCACGGCCACCCAAACCCGTGACCCTGCACCGTATTACACACTCACACCACATATCATATAACACCCACACACCACATCATATCCCACCATCACTACTGCATGCCCCTCTTAAGCCAGATTGCAACCACAGAGCAGAAAAGGTCGGGCCGCAATCCTTTGCCCACCGTCCATATCGTTAATCGTGCGCATCCAGCCCGTAGCAACTACATGCTGTGTTTTGGACGCAACGAAAGGCCTACCTGGGTATGCAGCCAAGGCTCATGCCAATCTGGAGTTGACGGCCGCTGAGCAGTGCATGGGCGGGGTAGACATGTGGTGTCTTACACCCGGGAAAGATATGTGTCTATTCATGGGGTTGTACCATGACTACTTGCATCTGTACAAATTTTGCCCGTCTCTACATCGCACCCTAGTGTAACAGAAAAGGATGGTCCCTACCTAGTATACCAGCCCACAATCTATAAACGTCCCAAACGTTTACAGGCGTAGCTATGGGTAACTGGGCGACTATTAAGAGGTACTGCTTCTCGACTACGGATGCAATCCAATAAACAAGATAAGCTTATACCCAGTTTACATGCTACGTTACGTTACGAAAACGTTTTGGGAAAAGTATTGTTACATGTTGGTTCCCCGCGCACCCAACTGAAAAACTACCATGCTGCCCTCCATCGCTCCCCCGGGTGGGTGCTATATGCCCTCAATACAGCTGCGGTGCAGCGTTTGAAGTTGCCATCGTTTCCAAGGCCTTCGACGGCAAAACGCTTATCCAGCGCCATTGACTGGTACGCCTGATGGGATCGTTTCCGTAATCACATCTGGCTGAGAAGTCCCGGCAACCGCAGGTGAATGAGGCACTCAACGAAGAAATGGCTTCCATTAACGTGCTTTCCATCAAGAAATGATAGACCCCGCAGCAGGAGAACTACGCAAATTAGGGGAAAAACGTTTTGTACGGTATCATTACGGCAATACCTCGCGTCGACGGTATGGCACGTCGAGCTCTGCGTGACATAAAATCCTATGGCTCTAAATACCTTGTAACCAATGTCCGTCCGCGACATCTTGTAGGCTTCTTCCATAGCCTATCATGCCATCCATCGCCCAATAATCCACCAGCGCTGCGCATAGTATAGCCTATGCTGTGGCCCAATATGCAGCGCATGACACCTCCACTGCGCGCTTACTGCACACGATCTAGTGCCCACCGGGATTGCATCATTTCGTCCAGGTACGACAGGAGGGCCTTGATGCCCCAAGCCAGCAGCAAGCCTAGCGCCACCACAATGCCCATCATGACCCCCCGCATAATGGCAGTCAGTCGCTGCTGACGCAGCCGTTCGGCCTCCTTCTTAGCCGCCAACGCCTCCCGTTCCGCCCGCGTCAGTCGCGTCTTGCTGGCCTTCCCAGTCGTCGCTGCCGCGCCTCCTGCTCCGTCGGACAGAGACTCCATGCTGCGCGACGTGGTCATACTGGTTGAAGGTGCTGGCCCGTTGGCAGTGCCCTTGGCAACTTGAGCGGAGGTGGCGACTTTGGCCTTTAAAAGCTCGCACTCCGCGTCGCACAGTAGCAACCGCGGGGCCTGCGCGTCGTCGTACGTTCGTGGCTGGCCGGCACGCTCCAACGCATCCTGCACCTCCGAGCACTTCCACTTGGCACGGCGCTTGTTGGGACAGGCGCAGCGCACACTGACCTCCGCGGAACAGCCTTCAGGGTTGGGACAAGGCCCGGAGTGGCAGAGCGCCCTGAGGACAGCAGGGGGAAGTGGGGATATCGGGGCTAGGCGATAGATCACGGCAACCGATGTCCATAACGCCTTGTCTTTCAACGCCCAACACCATAAGCTCCCTGAGCCTTAGCCATTACCAGTAATGCCTTGCCAACGATTGTACTCTTCAAGTCAATACGTCGCATCAAGTCAATACATCGCAGTTGATTGTCCCCTTTTTGAACCCTTTTTGAAGAAGGCAGGCCTGTGTTAAAAGCTTTAAAACTGTTCTTGAAGTACGTTGTAGGAATGGAAAAGCCGTAAGGCTTTCCTTGTCATCCCCTTTGGGTTCCTTGTCCAAGTCAATACAGCGCAGAGCCTTTTCAACAAGCTTTGATTATCGCTGCCGAAAACGCCGACGCACAAAGCTTTCGCTGTCACGCATAGGACACGTCATGAAACCAACGCCACTTACTTGCACGGGTGGGTGCAGAAGGCCAGCTGCCGGTGGCATGGCTTCCCACACGACAACAGCGAGTTGATCTGGTTCTTCGCCTGGGCCTCCGTCAGCTGATGGCAGGGCAGCTGCAACATGGTCTTCCCGCACAGGCAGGCCATCCGTGACTGCAGCTCGCATCGGGGACACTGGCCCTGATGGCACCTGCGCGGGCATGGGTGGCTGCAGCCCCGCGTCAGGCCACATGGCCGGTCGCATGGCCGGCATGTCTGCGGGACACGCGGGTCACCCCCACCACTGGCTGCGGCCGCAGCTGCTGCGCCATTGGTGGCACCGTCCAGTACAGCATGGCACGGAAGCGGGCACCTGTGGTTGCCACACTGCAACGGCCGCCCGCAAGGTGCGTTGCACCTGTAGGGTCGCCGTTCGCTGCACGGCATCGCGACGCTGCCGTGCCCGCCCACGCAGATCTCCTGCATGGGCTGCCTGCATGGCGGACATGCACTAGGCAGCTCCCCACTTGCCGCGATGGCTGCCAAGATCTGCGCGGCCTCGTGCGTCGGCTGCTGCACTGCCGGTGCTGAGGACGCACTGTCGGGCAACGCGCCGCGCTTCCGCCGCTGCTGCTGCTGCTGCTCGCGGTCAGTCACAGCACTGCCGCCAATGCCATCCGCGCCCGCCATCGCCGTGGCGGCAGCGACAGCAGACTTGGATGGCGGCGGCGGTGGCTTGAAGTCCGGCACGGGCGGCGGAGGGGGGTCATGACATGTGTTCGCGGCACAGGAGTGTCCACAGGTGAGCGGCGTCGCGCAGGGCAGGGCGCATGGCGGGCAGGGCCCATAATGGCAGCGATGAGCCGGCAGCTGCGGCCCGTGCCGGCAGATACGTGGCACCGAGCAAGGCTTGAAGCAGTGCGGCGCCTCCGCCTTGGACTCGGCACCGCATGGCAGTGTGCAGCTCGTGGCACCGCAGGCGCACGTCACGGTCACCGTCAACGGACATGGCCTGGAGCAGGTGCAGGGGGAGTTTACACGGAAACGTTCATAACAGCCCAACCACAGGCCAGATCAATCCACGGTACGGCCAATCTATCTCTGTGCCAAGCCGCCGACAGCAACGCAACGACCAGGTCTGGTACAGCCAATGAGATATTTTACTAAGCATAAGCATAATCGTGGTAAGTGAAAACCCCCGACTTTTACACCATAAGACTTTGCTTGTGTAGTGCGGACTTTCCATTTCACAAAATGTGCCTAAAAACTGCGTCATCCGAGAGTGAGGCACCCCAGAAACGCACCTGCAAGGACCGCTGTGGCAGGGTGCGGGGCACTTGTGGTTGCCACATTTCAGACGCCGCCCACAAACCTCTTCACACGGGGGGCAGTTGCCATCGCAGCAGCGCCGCTTGCAGGGGTGGCGGCCGCACGCACGCATCTCTAAGCACCGCCGCTCACACGTGAACTCCTGGAAGCAGAGAACCTCCTTCTGGCTCTTCCCGCACCTGTTGCAGCAGGTGAACCGCCATACACAACAGCGCGGCTCAGTTCGTACAATACAAGCACCAAGCACCTGTAGGAAAACATAGCCATAAGGAAGCCAATTCTGGGGCCCCGGTGCCAGCAACAATGTGCATGGCCAAGGGCAGCTAAACATCCCCTGCAGTAAAATAATTAAGGGCGTGCAGCCGGTATTGTGAAATCGTTACCAACAAGGCACTGGCATCAGAAAGAGTCACGGATCCGTACTAAGGAACAGCTGCTTTACCGGGACCTCTTCTGGTGCACGCATGGGGAATGTTGTGACTGGCATTTGCATGCGTCTTGCCGGTTAGCCTGTCCCTCTGCTCCGCGCCTGACGGTGAAATGATCCACATGCCATGGCCATGGTAAACCCCATCCCTTTTGCCATCCTGCCTAAGGCCTAGGCGGCTGCCCTTGCAGACCACACACAGACCACACCTGCATGTCTTGAGCGCCGGGCCCCGGCACTGAGCTGTGCATTCACCCTGGTGACAGCGGTCTGCGCAGCGGTGTATGCCGCAAGGCAGCAGCTTGCCGCACGTCTCGCCGCATGACGGCACCTTGTCCGTGCACGACATGCCTTCGTACGTCTGCTTCCCACAGGGGCACGTCCGGACGCCAGAAAATGGGCACGAGCCGCAGGCACCCGTGTGGCAAACCTGGCAGCGGTCAGCAGGGCGGTAGGGCAGGACCATGACTGAAGGCAGGGAGCCAGGCCACGGCCAAAGCAGGTGGCAGGCAAACTGGTTACAAAAGGACTGCAAACTGGTACGTCGGCCCTCAGGATATGCGCGATCCATAAGACAGTACGCAGCGACAGTAATGCACTCGGCCGAGGGGAGTCTCAAGGGACACATGCTATTAACCATGTACCAGACCCCGAGGAACTGTGCCGTGGCAAGCCTGGCCGTATATGCCAATAGACGCACTGCGCGCTGCTTAACGTGTGGCTCATGCAAGTACTGAGGTACAGAGCACATGGACTAAGTCCCGTGAAAGTGCTGCTCTATTACTGCTACTACTGGAACGCCTCCATCCGACCACGTACCTTTTCGCACTTGTGGTTTCCGCAAGCCAGAGGTTTACCGCAAACACGAGCGCACTGGTAGTTGCGGTCTCCGCACTGCAGCTGTCGTACTTCCGCTCCACAGCGGCAGGGGAATTCACCCATAACCCGGCACTTGGCGCAGTCACCTGGATGGCACACGTCTGGGCACCTGCGGCAGCAGCGAATAACGGATGCCATGCCGTCCATCGACAGCACAAAAGCAGCGTATCAGAGAATGCCGGCCTCGTATGGAATCATGCGGCTGGCCATACTCAGAACCTCTCGAGTATACTAGGCAACGGATGTAGCACTACCAGCGACCAGGCTAAGTTCTAAAGCAGCGAGCTTTCGACATTTCGCCGAGCAGCTGATACGGCCCGTTGACATCAGGTGCATGCGCCCACATGTCGCGCGCTTATGCGCACAATGCCTGGAGTGCTCACAAAGGAACGCGCTGCAGTTGGAGGCAGACGCGTCATAACCAGGACCAGCACACATCACACATATTTTTCACCGCCACAGGGCACGTTATCACGAGAGAAAACATTAGGACGCGCTACCTCTTGACCTTCCAGGCGCCTGCAACTGCTAACCGCCCATATACACACAGTCTTTGCACCTGTGTCCACAGTCCAGTTTGGAGCCACACACGTCCTTGCAGCTGTACTCGTGATGGCCGCAGCGCTGCTTGAGCTTCTTGCTGCCACAGTAGCAGCTCGCATCCACAATCAGAGGGCAAGGCGGGCAGGGGCCCGGGTGGCATAGCAGCAGGCAGGTGTGGCCGCAGCCGCCCGCCAGCGATCGGCGGCAGATCTCTCCGCAGCTGTGCGGAGTGACCCACGGGTCAAACTCAGGATTGGTAACTGCAGGCATGGATGAGATCAGGGACGTCTGCTTTTGCTTTCCGTGGATGAAGCAACGAACGAGAGGAATACAACGTCCTAAATAGGCATACTTGGGCAAAGCGGAGCAGGGTTATGAGCTCGTAATGCTCCATTCCGAGTTTGGGACGGTAAAGCCCTGCTAAATAAGACAGGCCCAGAAAGCCGTCTCAACGCAATAACAAGGCGATCCGCGACCACAGGCCGAGCTGCTACCGCACCTTTTCCGCAAAAACATTTATACTGTCGAGGAACATCCGCAGCGGGGTAGGTTGAGCGGCACTTAGGGCAACCCCAATCAAAAGCATGGACAGTAGCCGTGGGATCCTGCAACGACCTCGCAGCCGCCTTGGCGCGAGCGGCATCCACCTGGCTGCGTGCCCAGTCCTGCGCCCCAGCATGCAAGATACATCCAGCCCCCACAGCCCCGTAAGATGATGCGTTGGGTCAAATGCCCGCCCCATACTTCCAGTCGCGCGCGCATGGTGACGTATATCTTCTATCGCTAACCAATCCCACCACCACGGCACTTTGAAAATTAAAGTGTAGGTAGACAACAGATGACCCAGATGCCGCGGGCAAGAGCAACTAACGACGACTAAGGAACACTGCCTTCCAATGGTTGTGCATATCCCAACAGGACGATCTCCCAATTGCTGCCATGCTTTAAGGGACGGCATGGGCCATGGCCTTCGCGCTATCCCTCTACCGTCTCGTGCGCGTGCAAGCGCTCTGCCTGCATCGCTGCCATGCGGCTTTACTTCACCAGCGACCTTCCCACCTGGATGCATACTAGGTGCAGCACCGTGTAACAGCCCTGCTCGCAGTGCCAGACCGCTTCTGTGGGCTCTATGTGGTTCAGGCAGATGAGACAGCAGCTGCTGTCCACGTTGGTCAGGTGGTCGCGAATGCGGCTGAGGCCCTGCTCGAATATCTGTGCGAGGGGACCGCCATGTCACCATAACCGATGCGACAACACACCGAGCAGTCAGAAGATGCTTTGAAGGGGACTGTGAGAAAGCATAAGAAGCGGCTCGGGAGGAAATGCCTCTAAAGACGTAAAACAAGGATGGCTGCGTCCACGAGCCCATCGTGGCTTAAAGGCCATCGATGCGTAGAATATAAGTTTAGCAGCACGTATTCACTACCCATCTGCAGCTGCAGATATCGGATGCGCGTACATGCTCTTGTGGTTTAGACTGGCGACAGACACCAGTTCATGACGTATTTTGTAGATCGCTAACTGGTTCAAACCCTTTCCGCATAGCCATGGCCAAAAAGCATAGCTAAGCCTGCCGAAAGTCGTAATAGAACATCCACCCATCCCAATACAAGACAGAGCACAACACATTGCTACAACCATTAAATGAAGCCTCACGCAGACGCAGATCCAGATCTCTATCACTCCCAAGACAATTCGTTATACACTCCCAAGTTAAAGGCTTGCATGGCTCCCCTCCGCACCCAAGGCTCGCAGGGTTACCATCCTAGGTGCTGCATTTCCCCCATCAAGCTACCCACCTGGTCCTTTCCGATGTCATCTCCAAGCTCATTGCCGACCCGCATGTACTGCTCGAACAAGGCGCTCATAGCCTGATCCGACTGCGGTGCACGATGGGAAGGCAACAAAGCCGTCCACGCAATTACATGGCACGAAACGCGCATGCTAGCAGGTCCAATACAGTGCAGCGAAAACAGGGAGTTAAACCTGAGGTCCCCGAATTCAATCTGTGGCCCTGCTTATGCAAGGGAGGTAGCTTGAAGGCTTCGTGGTGGTACCGGTTTACTTCGTGGATCCAAAACAGCTGCTGAAGGAAAGCGAGATCCCACAACAGTGGCTCGTGTCTTACCTGGGTGCCAGAGCCCCGCCAAGCCTGCTTCGCAGCCGCCAGCGGTCTAGCACTGCCGCTGATAGCTTCATCGTCGCTGCTGTTGTTAGAAAGTACAGGACCTCGCCGAAAGGGGCCATTGCCCCCAACTCGTGGCATAGCGTCGTGTCGTTTTGTTTCGACAGACGCCAAGACCAGCTTCGTGGCCCCTTTGGTGCTTCTGCGAAGCAGAAAAGGCAGGTAGCGTCGAGAGTGTCCACGTGGCTGGATTCATACGCATTGTGGTGCTGCTTTTCATACGCAATGCAGTGCAGTATTGTTCTGCAAGCCGTGAGGAGCACATCGCCTTGACTCAAGAGGAAGGGGGTTTTGTCTGACGAGGGAACCGCAGGATTCCCCGATCCACGGGTAACAGTGCTTGGATCAGCGTACTATGCAGGTGTGACTGTCGGAAGCGTTACCCCGCCGATCTCCTATCTTCTCTATAACTCATATCCTGTACGCTCCCTAATCTGCGTGCTCATGAATATGTAATTCCTAATCTGCCCGCCCAACATACCTGAGGCTAGCCGGGGTCCCTAAGTCGTCTGTCCTCAGCTGCTAGGCTTGGAGGGCGGCTGACTAGTGGATACTGTTGCGGGAAGGTAGTCTTTGATGGGAAGAGTCTGTCCAGTACAGGGGCGAGCAGCACTTGTGTGAGGCCCGAGAACCGACAGCCACCGCAACGTAACCCAAGTGGAACCGGCGTACCAAATCAGGCTTCAAGATATAGTGAACAACGGTCGCACCAGCAAAAAGCGAAGTTATGGCCACTAGATAGCCTTTCGCCACGTCGGCGATCCTGCACGAAAGATGGAGACGGCCAAGAGGCGGCCTTAGGAGATGCGCTCTCTGCACAAGATCTATAAGTAACGAAAGGATACTGTTTCAGCATAGGGTGAAGAAATTTGTACGCTTGCCAAAGGCGATTTCTCAGGAGTCAAAGTGCTTGACATCAGTATCTTATCCTACCTCATCTTATCCCACAGAGAAAAAAGATATTGGAAAGTGCCCAGAATTCTCTGAAGCGCGTCACACAATATTGCTTCTGCATGAGCTGTGAGCTGTTCCCAACGAGCCGTACACGGCTCCCAGTGCAGTTGACAATGCGACCGTGCATGCTGCTTGGTTGCATAATTTCTATTTATTCTCAGTCTGTATTGTGTGCTAACCTATGTTGGGTGAATACGCCTCTCTCTCTCTCTGACAATCCCAGCAGCTCTTTCCGGAGCGAAGCGAAGGTCTTTTTTTTGGTGGGACGTGTCCGTTAGTTCGCTCACCGACGGAACACACTGCAGCTCGTACCGAAGCCAAGAATGGCATGACAGCTTGATCAGCGAGCAACGAAACTTGATCAAAGAGAAGGAGCACAACGCAGCTGCCCGAAAGTGTCCTTTATTTGTATCACAACCATAAGCCTCAGTCCACCTTCCATGACCCTTCTATGCAGTCCGCTGTTCCACCCTTAATTCGTATGTATGTCTTTGCCAACCTTGTCTTTAAAGATGAATCCTCCGAACTAGTCCTGGGATAACACCAGCCACAATCACCGTACCCCGGCCCTCTCAAACCCCGCAGTCACATAGCACGTCCAGGCGTCTTCCGCCCCTTACCTCTCTCAACCGCGCAATTCTTCTTCATTACTACATTTCTCATATGAAAGGTAACTTCACGATGCTCACGTATTCTGCATGTCACATGTCTACAGTCAGCTCAACGTCGCTCAACTCGAAACTTGAATCCCCTCTGCATTAGGTTCTGCAAGACTTCCCCCAGCGCTTCGGTATTCCCGCATCGGCTATTCACTCGCCGCTGTCAGAAGCGGACGTCCAGCGGAGGAAAGCTGCGGACGGTGGCTCGCAGGCCCAGCTCCAGCACCGCCTCACCGCCATCACGACCTCCCGTCCCGCTGCTGCCGCAGATCCGCATCGAGCCAAATGCCAACTCCGCGCCTTGAAGATCCACCAACAGCCCCGAAAAGAAGCGGCTCAGCTCGCGAGACACTTCCACATCCTCCTCTCCGCTTCCAGCGCTCGCCACGCTCACGCCCGCTACAGTTCCCCCTGCCGCTGTTGCAGCCGTGCAGCTTGACGTGACAGTTCCACCTCCTTGCTGCTGTATCCGATCCGGGGTCCCCAGGACCCCGGTACCTGACCTTGTAGGGCCGATTGGCGTCGCCACCACCTCAGCAGCCCGGCCACCGCGTGTAGGACGCATAGATAACTGGTAGCGCTGGCCACTTGCCAGCAGCGTCCCGCTAAACAGCACGCAGCCGCCACTGCTGCCTTGGGAACCCCCGGGAGCTATAACGACGCCGGTTCGGTCAAACAGGAAGGGCCGGCCCTAGGCAAAGGTGACATGTGCGGAAGATTTGAGGAAAGTTCAGGCATACCAGTACTCAGGTAACCACAGGCAGCCACGGTTTAGGGACGGGTGCTACAGCGAGAGGTAGCAATCGCACGTGCCAGGACCGATTATCGGCGTGAGGTATCGGCAAGGCGTCCCAGTGGTAATGGGTCGGTTGGACTGGAATCATTGCTGTACCTGGCCACATGGGCCCCCCAACTTTGACGGAACCCGCCACCTTTGCGGACACTGTAACTGTAACCGTAACTGTACCAACCCCCGGTGATTTGAACAGCGTGCCTCTCCGAACCACCACACCGCAGCTCAGCACGAACAGGGAGCAAAACGGCCCTAGCTCGCAGCCGCAAACTACTCCTATATCGCTGGCTGAGGAAGTGTGGGTGTGGAAAGGGATTCAGGGGCCGCAGTGGCGCCGGCTTGTGCATTGTGGAAGCCGGCGTCAACGTGGATTGGAGGATGAAGCTAGCTGCCATGTATGATGCCACTAACCTTGCTGGAGCTGGTATGCCATCGCATACAACATCCCCTCCGTGGTTGGTTCTTCCCAGCCGCCCTCGCCTATATGGGCAGCACCCATCCCAGCTTCACCCCGCTCCTGGCCACATGCCGACATTTTTCGATCTTTCCAAGAAATCCACATGGTCTGGAAACTTTGCATTGCAAACTTTTCTATCGTACTACCAATACTTTTCCCGCCTGGCCCACCAACCTGGACCGCTGTGCGCGCTGCCGTCGTGACCAGAGGGTGCTGTAGAAAGGCGCCAAAATCCGCCGCATTGAACACCACCCTTGCACTGCCGAGGGGTACGTTTCGGAGCAGGATGCGCTGCTGTGAAAGCACCGCCGGGAGGTCCAACTCCACGGAGTCCACCTCCACCTGAACCATGGTATGGGATCCAGGAGACGGACAAATGTGGGAAACACACAAAAGACCTCAAACGTTGACACGTTCCAGTCGCTTTTGGCTTCGTCCTGTCGACGACCGGGCCCGTAAGTAAGGAAAAAAATTAAACAATGTTATGACAATGATAGATTCTCTTGTAGAAGCTAACTGCGAGAATATTGAACCTTTAAGGTCTGTTTCATGTGGACGCAATAATGCTAAAAATAACCCATACGGGAAGGGCAAGGCGGTGCTCGTGTACCTGCAAATGTGCCGACTTAACACCTGTGCACCGGGGCACGCATACGCCGAAACTCTACATTCGTTCGCTTCTTCTCTCGCTTGGTGTAACCAAAGGCGGCCAACCCAGATGAATCAAGAACCCTAACATGGAAAACCAAAAAAAACTCAGTTTGGCCGTGGTTCGATAGCGGAGTGCTTTGGCTGGCTGGCAAGGTTAGGCTGTTTGCATGTGCACACTGCAAGGAAAACTGCCGTCTGTACGTACTTCGAGAACTCGCGCTGTCAAGCCCAGAGGACTTTCCCACTGGCGTCCCTCCACCTGCACCGGAACAGGGAGGCGTTCATAAGCTGGATCTGCAGGTTCGTGACGGACAACTCATCGTGAGGAGCAGCCATCACGAGCGCCTTGCCACCAGGTAAGGAAAGGGCAAAAGAACTTAACGACGGGAGCTCTCGGCTGTACCTGTAGCTGTACCTGCTACGGCTGCGGCGAAAACCCAAAGCCGATTCGCAATAGCGCATGAGAATATCAATTCGGTGGCATGGCTGTGCCCCGGGGTCATGTCTGTTTACGTGTCAGATGTAGAGGACCTTTATACGCGGAGGGATCTTGCGAGCTGCAGCAAACTGCTACGTCCCGCCACAGCGGCAACAGCTGATGTTGGTTACCTTGGCGCCGTGGATGCGACCTGCCAGTAGGTCCCACCCTGATGCAGTCACGCGTACATCCACTTTGTCATGTGATCGGAGTCGCGCACGGAGCGCTGCAGCGGCTATGGTCTCCACTGCAACCACGGCCTGACGGCGCCGCATGTCATGCATAGCATCGCAGAGTGCACAGCGAAGCACGAGCAGGAAAAGGATAGGGGGGAAAGGCGGGGAAGGTTTAGCCGGGAGGGAATATGTTGTTTGGATGGATTGGGGGGGGGTGATGATGCAAGACGAGACGTGATGGCGTGAGGTCTGGTGAGGCTTTACAGATGGCGGGGCTGCGCGTGGGTATGGTCGTAGAAGCTACCAGGGGGCTGCGTTGCAGCTGGGCGTCACTGAGGCCTGAACGATCATGAGGTCGGCGAACCTAAGGTTGTGCAGGCTTGTGGTCTGATGTGAGTTGGGGAGGGTCTCAGCCTTGCGACAGCGGTCCACCAGAGGTCCCGTAAGAATTCCTTGTGTAAATAAATAGCACTGACATCTGTTCGTTTTCAAGGTCCAATCACTGGAGTACTCTCACCATGTCTGCACTGGTTACCCTGGCTTGCACTTGACATACTTGCCGGGAGCTCCGCCGATATCTACTGGCACTATAATTGAAGGCACGCATTACAAAAATGATGCAAGGACAGCGCGGAGTGAGTTAACATTACGGTGGTAGGAACCGTGTACCTTTATTGACAATGATTGTAAATACCATACGATGTATCATTGAAATAATTGTATAAATGTTGGTGCAGGTCGAAAGCGCACAATTCTATTGCAATAAGTACGGCAAATCGGTTATATTTGCGTACGTGACACGGTTGAGTGGTCCGCAGTAGCGAGCCAGCTTCCATACCCAACTGAGTCCTCTTTCGTTAAGCCACTCCATAGCCTCTTGGCATGCCCTCTTTTCAAAAGAGGACAAGCTTCCGACCAACAATCTCTTCAGCACGGAAAGTACACTTCATCGCACGAAGAACAACATGCGCACGTTCCGCGTCCTTGCAGCGGTCTTGCGCAAGCATATTCCATAATCGTGTTGCTTTGCTAACAGAGCCATCGTCGCCCCAACTCGCGTAGCTGCCATGGCTGCTGTCGGAGCTTACGGACGGAGAGGACCTTGCTGAGCTCAAACTCAGAAGCCCGCCTTCCAGAGCCTGCTCTCGAACATCACTCCAGCTCGTAATGCTGTTCTGCGAAGACGTGCTGATCGGCGCCCTCGACTGTTTGAAGTTTCCATCCGTGCTACTAGCGCAGTGCATGCTAGCAACCTGCTGCAACTCCGAGCTGCTTAGGTCACTACAGGGCGCCGGGTGATGTTGCAAAGCCAGGCGGTGCTGGATTACCGGTTGATATTGGAGTGCGGGGTGCTTTTGTGGGGCTTGGCTATTTCGGGTGGAGGTGGGGACCTGCGGTTGGGCAGGGGGCATACGATCACTCAGACCTAACAAGCCACATTAATTAGTAGAACATCATATTAAAACGAAACTTCTGCTTTCTCTATGCTTTTATGACGGCGCCGGCTGACGTAGGCTGACGACACCTGACGGACGCGGACGCTACTGCGTAGCCGCACCTTTCGAGTTTGTGTACCTTGCCTGATCGTAACCCTGGCGCTGGAACTAGACAAGGAAGCTTGTCACACCTTACCTCTCTGTATTGCTTATCTTCCGCAGAACCCGAAATTGTGCGCACAGGCGAGAAGTTGTCGGCAGAAACTTCCTCGGCGGGAAGCATACTAACAAAAGCCAAAATGTATTTCTTAATGAGATCGGAAGATGTGTCAAGTATTGTTATTAATGACTGTCGCGGAGTTTAGGTGGTGAGCTACACGAGTATGCACACCACGGCAAGACAGGCGCAAAGTCAGAGCCGAAGTTTTCACTAAAAATGATGTAACCCAGCGCTGGGTTGTTAGGTTGGCAGGAAATGGTTAACTATTGGGGAGAGTCAATGTTGATTAAATAGCTATCAGGCGTCTCTTATCAAATTTTAACATTTCGGCAATATCTCTTGACTTCTATTTTTAAGTACTGATAGCAATTTTCGTATCCGTATGAATACCAATCGTGTACGGTTGCCGCAACCAACATTGCGCGCAAGCGCGCGTGAATCCATCGCGCTCCCAATTCCCGTATGCTGAGGTCATATTATGATTCTCACAGTAAAATTTACAGTAAGCATGAGATAACTGTTTGGTTGCCGCGCATTGCGCAAAGGTGGAAAGCGCGGGTTTCCCTTTGTAACTGTGGCAGTTGCTGCGCTAACGATTCGCGCGCCTTGCGGTTTCCCGCCTGCCATCCAACGAGGATGCTAAGGGATATGACAAGAGGGAACATTATGATAAGGAGAATGGGAGTTACAACATGATGCTATATCCGAAACATGGCAAGTTTTAAGATATAACAAGCTCTGGCAAACGGCGTCAAGACACACCGAAAACATGCAATCCAATCCAACAATCCAAGCCCAAAGGTAGTCCGACACCAATCATATGCTCAATCAAGAAGTGACTCCTCCAGGCGCCTCGGGACGGGCTCCCCATCCTCGACGTAACCTGGTCCAACTCCCAACTCGTCTTCCAACAACTTGCAACAACTACGCTTAGCACTGCTCCTGCGGATGCTGTTCAACATTTCCTCCTGCACGGCTGTCCGGCCGGGAGTGCGAGCCCCCCCCGTGACGCGCGATGGCGTCCGACCAGAGCCGTCCTGGCCCTCACTTTCCCCCAAATCACCACCCGCACCCCGAGACTCGCACGGCGATGCTCCGCCAACACTATTACTGCAATCTTTGATAGCCACTGCAGGCTTTGCTGTACCCACCGCTGCACCTGTCCGGCACAGCTTCTGCAAAAACCCGTCGTCGGACGCTGAGGCGGCGGAGCCGCTGCAACCCCCCCCAATAGGTGCCGGCGCCGCCAACGCAGCCGTAGCAGCTTGCCCGTGTGCGGCCAGGATGGACCCAATAGGCCCCGACGGTCGATCACCCCGCACCATCCCGCTGCGCGTCGGCGTCTGTGCGCAGCGCTGCGGCATGGGCGATGGCGGCGCAAGCGGAAGTCCTGGCGGCCGCCGACGCGATGAAGGTGTCGGCGGGGGCATCTCCAGGCCGCAAGCTGTTGCACCGCCAGCTCGGCCGCTGTTCGACGTTGCTGCAGGGCCCCCGACACCAGACACCGTTGCTGCCCCATCCTCTTCAAGTGCCTGTGCCAAGGAACGGGGCTTTAACCCTGCCGCAAGCGACTCCGGAATTGGTCCGGTGGCGGCGCGGCCCAGCGAAGCAGCCCTTGTCCCTGCATCCGCCGCTCCACAACCACCGCGCTCGAAAATGGACTGTACGGCGGCATCTGGGTCAGCGGCGAGCGCCTTGAGCTTAGCTGCGACGGCATTGATGTTCGCGGCGCGGCTTATGACAACGCTGCGCGGGCGCGCAGAGCCGTCGGCCAGGACCCGCGGGTCTTCGATGCGAAGGAACTCGGGCACGGCGCGTGCCATGGCAACTAGCGTGTTGCTGGCGTCACGGGCGGCGAGACCCTGACGCTGTGTAGAACGTTCGCACATTAGCTGTGCCACCTGGGAAAACACAAATGTGGCATGTACGGGGGTTACGGGATGCTGTACATTTAGAAAGCAAGTTGTATGGGCAATAGCGGAATGCCCCGCAGGGTACGGTCACGTTGGAGCAGGCTGGCGACTGGACGGAACTAACTCGAGTGGCATATGGCGCCAAAGGCACGTGTCCTTGTACGCACGGCGCTGCGCGCTTCGTTCTTGGTACCGTTTTCGTGTTTCCAGCGCGGTCCAAGGCCTCTTCACGAGCTTTACTTGCATCACACCCACATTGTCGTTGACCCGGTCAACACGCGCTTACCTGTGTCAAGGGCTTGACGGTCGGGCCCTGCAAGCCAAAAATGATGCGCACAAGCTCGTGGCCGTGCGGCAACAGCTGCACGGCGCGCCGCATTTCAGCCCGTCGCTTGGCCTCCGGTGTTTGTGCTACTTGTGCGGCCTCCGCCTCAAGTATTTTCTGTAAGACGAAAGACAACAGGTACCAGCGAGGCGTGGCGTCAGTTGCCGTGTTGGAGAAACTTGGGCTCCACAGCACATACGAGTCAAAGGATGGTATTATTTGTCGTGGCACACAAGATAGGAGGTGCGCGGGGAAGGAACGATGTAAGGTTCTTGTGCGGGCACAAGGTGCCAAGGATTCAGGATTGTGCTAACCGCTATGAGGCTATCAGTCCGCAACCCAACAGCAACTCAAACCACCATCTTCCATGCTGTGGGGCACGCAAACGAGTGTGACCCTATTCAGCCCCGTATGCTGTACTGTTATCCTATCCAGAGCCGGCTTGCAAAACAAAAAGCCATTTCAATGTGCCTGTACATGGCAAAGAGCGTGCAACCATACATAAAAACAGACAAACAGCCGTTCGGATTGCGTCTCACCTGCATTGCGGCAGGAGATAGCAAGCTATGCAGTCTCGCCAACCCAGCCGACTGCGGTTGCTGCTGGCTCGTTGGCGTAGTCGGAAGACCTGCAGGTCGGGGTCCCTTCGACTGCGGAGTCCTCACCACTGTGGCCGCAACGCCGAATGCCGTTGGCTGCATGGCCGTCATTGAGCCCTGATGCTGCGTTAGTTCCAACGCTGGTCCTTCAGCCGCCTCTTCAAGTGCTACCTCTGCTTCCATCTGCTTTGGGCTACCAGAGGCCCGCGGATGAGGCCGTTGCTGCTGCGGCGTCACAGCCCTCTGCTGAACTGCGGGCGTGTTTCCTTCCAATATGGGGGTTAGAGAGGCCACCGGCATGGAGCCCCCAAGCAGGCCCAGCCGGGATCGGCTGCGGGTCATGGAGGGCGAGGCCGCGGACATGCCGCTACTCATGCTGCTGCCAGGAGACCCCAGCCCTGCCGCCAAGCCAGCGACCTGCGCAAGGATTGAGCCATACAGGACGTAAGCGGATGCAGCGCCTACCAGTCAACCATCACGGCACACGCAATGGCCGCGTTGCCTACTGCAGCATGCTGACAGCCGTTTTCCATGGGCACAAAATATACATGCCACTACCCAGGTTAACACACATGGACGCTGCCGATGCCTCCCACATACCTGCGCATTATCTGTGAACATGCCAAACGAACAGCTGGCCGTCTGTAGAAGCCCCGCGTTGCATCCCGCAGCGCTCCCACCGGCGCTGGCCCCAGGGCTGGATAAGCCGCATAGCGGCAGGGATCCGGCGCGCGAGAGCGCCGGGCCGGAGGCCGTTGGACGAGGCGGTAGCGGGGCCTGCGGGACGGGTTCTCGCAACTTGCCGGTTTCCGGGTCCTGGAGGGTTGAAGGCAAGGCAAAAACAAAAGCGTGACTCACAGACTTGTGATGGGTTTAGTTACATGGCTCCAAAGAACACTGAACACGTTCGCAAAGTTAGCAACTAGAGAATCAATATTGTCCGTGGCGTCATAAGTTTGCCAGAGCCCATGCCGACTGAAACCCGCACGGCGGGGGCCAATCACCAGCCCAAACGGCCCGACCCAAATGGCTGCTACCGTGATGGGTTGGCCAGGGTGACCAAAAGTGCGATCATGTGGCCGTGGTTTGCATTCAAAAAAAGCCCATCGACTGAGTCAAATTACAGCAGAAACGAAAAGAGGGGCATGCAACGTACCACGGGATTAGCTTTCGCGTGCTCCTCCAGCTGCGCGCGAAACTCCGAAAGCTCCGCAGCACCGCTGTACCGGCCCACGCTGCCGCCGCCAAGGCCCTCCGCCCCCGAAGAGGTCGGCCGATCAAACGTCAGCAGCAGCTGTATCTCCATCCTTCAGGATCAAATGCACGCACAGAACACACGAACACTACACGTAAGCCTTAGTCCATGGATACAACCAATAAAGATCTAGGCCCTAATTTCAGTTTGCCATGAACGAGATAGGCGGGAGTTGGGTTGGAGAATGGAGACGGAAGTGGGATGTCTCGCGTTTGTCTTTGAACCCGCAGGTGGAGGTGTATCAAGAAGCAACGCAGCTCAAGCAAGCCACAAACTAGGAAGATGGCCTCGGGACGTCGTGTAAATCGCTTTCACGCCTGTTGCAAAGTACTGTGCAACCCTTTAACCCTAAGTTGTGCAGTCCGCAAATGTGTTTGCGACACCGAATGCGTGACTTACTGAAGTGGGTTCGAGGCGGATGGTGTCCTGATGTACTGCCAATCGAAAGCTTGCGGCCGGAGGTACTTGATCTGCGCGAGGTGCTCCACCTGCGATTTCCAGGTCCAGAGGTTGGGGATGGGTAAGTCATGAACGAACGGCAAAAATAATAATGCCGACAGTCGACATGTAATTCAGCATATGGCCACACACCAAAGAACCAACCCAGTTGAAATCCTGGCATGGTCAGGTTTCGGGAATGGCCCAGGACCCCTTGACTCACCCGAAATTCGCGCTTGGTCATGTTCTCTACCACGTGGCGCACGTTACTATAAGTGACTTTCTCACTCCGGCGTTTTAGCATCATACGCCCCGTTCGCAGGGCATCTGCATGCCAGGACACGGAATGAAAAACCTAGTTGCGCTACTGTAGCCGGCCATCCAGCAGCACGCACCGAACATGCTTGCAAGCAGTTCCAACTCCGTGGGAAGCTTATTAGCGCCGTGTGTAGACTGCTTTGATGTGTCTGGCTCTGCGCACACTGGCTGTTGGCATTTCCTCCCCTGCGAGTCGTCGTTGACTATCGCTCTAGCACGTTTCGCTGGTGGGGATTTAACATCATCGTCTTTTAGGCCTAAGGAGTTTTGCGCAGCCTTGGTGATGCCAGCCGGCGAGGCTAACCCGGCTGCAGCTAACATTTGCTCTCCGCGACTTCGGCGCTTCATCCTTCGTTATGTTGGCCTAGTCTTTAACAAGAAATTATAAGAAGATACTACACTAACACAGCTAGGCTGCAACACATACTGCGTCCCTTCCCGCTACTTTGAATGTTCTGTTAGTTTCGGAGCAAATACATCGTACAGGCACATTACTGTCTTTTGCAACTGGTGAGTTTTCAGTAGCTCTAGTACGATGACATCCACCCCATTATGGCACATCTTAGGAGGAGGCTCTCTAGGTCTGCTTTGTGCATTTCACTTGCGGCGAGCCGGCTTCAATGTGAATCTTATCGTGCGAAATTCTCCAACTGGCTTCACATTTACCTCTAACAATAGTGGGATTTCAATTGAGCTTTTGGACTCATGGCGCAAAGATAGCCAACCCACCTGGCAGAGATCTCTCCCTATCCTAGCAAAGCCGATGCCATGTCCGGGACAAGCATCACCAGGGATTCATAATCATGCATCGTGTGGAAATGCTACTTCGCATGAGTTAGGCTCTATCGAACGTCTCATCGTTGCCACCAAGGCGCAGGACGCTGTGCCGGCTCTCCGTAACATACTCCCAAACCTGAGCGCTGACTGTCGATGCATCCTGCTGCAGAATGGTGTGCTGGCAGTGGCAGAAGAACTGCAGCGGGAACTGGGCCGCGAGCTTGGACTCGTGCCCATGGCTAACTACATACACACACAGGACAGCGACCCAACACCTGCAGATGACTCCGCTAGTGGACCCGCGCCGGTCAGCAGAAACTTACAATTTTACGCAGCGAGCGTCACGCATGGCTGTTACAGAGAAGCGGTCCAGCCCACCGCAGATCCGCCTAGCAAAAGCTACGCCCCACGGGTGGTGCATGCGGGTCTAGGGAGCATCGCGATTGGGCCTTTGGTGCCCTTGCTAGCTGCTGCCACCTCGGTCCTGCGTCCAAGCGGCGTAACAACAGCAGTAACAACAACCGCTCCGGACCGCAGTCGTCCCATCTGCAGCCACGCTAGCAACATCGACATCATTACCAACAGCAGCGGGCAGAGCGCGGACCACGCCGCTTTCCTCCAAGAGCTATCAGGAGCCCTGCCCGGCCTCGTGCTGCGACCGGTGGCGGATCCAGGAACCCTCTTGCGGGAGCTGCTCGCCAAACTCGCCGCAAATTGCGCGATTAACCCGTTAACAGCATTGCTGGGCTGCAACAACGGCGCATTAACGGAGCTTGCACATGTGCGCGGTCTGATGCGGGAAGTGTGTCGTGAGCTTATCGCTGTGTTTGGACCAGCAGCGTTTGGACCGGCGAATGGCCAAGGTGCCAACAAACAAGGTACGGCGCTATGTGTGCAGTGTTCTATCACAGGCAGGGGACCAGGCAGGCGCATGGGCTGCCATGATGGATAATCGGTATCCAGGTTTGTAAACCCAACTCATGGTCGGCAGCGCACGCGCAGTTCATCAGCAGGGCATGCAGGCAGGGGGTCCTTCGGTCCGTTGAGGGCAGGAAAGCCCCCTTGCCGCATGCGTTGAGCAAGCCAGGTTAAGGAAGACATCTACCATGTTCTCAGCATGGTGGCAATGGCTTTCGTAGGCTCCTTCATGAACAAATGCGGCATGGAAATGAAAGCACGGTTGCCTAGCGAGTACAGCCGAAGTCGACCCCGCGGGTTTCCCCTTCCCTGCTTTTTACTGGACACGGTGCTCAAGTGGATTGCGCAGGATGTGATCGCGCTGCTTCTGGTTGCGATTGTCATGGCGCAGCAGGTGCGCGCATGTCCGAAGCGTTGAAGGACTGCGCGGATGCGGCGGAGCAGGCAGCGCTGTACGACTGGGTTCTGGGAGTTGCAACCGCGACGGCGGGCAACCGGTCCAGCATGCTACAGGACGTGACTGCAGGGCGGCCAACGGAAGTGGATTACTTGAGCGGCTGGGTGGTGAGGGCCGCGGCCGTCCGGAACTTGCAGGTGCCGGTAAATACAACGTTGCTTGCGCTCGTGAAGGCGAAGGAGGGGCTGCAGGGCGCATAGCAGCTAGCGGTATACGTGGATATGCGGCTTGTCGTGGTTATGCGCTGGGCTCGGTCGGTTTGTGATGCATTGATGGGCCGGGTTTTGGCTTGGTAGGTATGCTCAAGGCTGACGCCAGCTCGATGCCAGGAATTTGCAAATTGCAGGCTGGCGAATGTCTCTGGGAGGATCTGTTGGGGCAGGGCCTGATCTTGCGTTTCTGGTTACCCGGTAAGCAGTGGCCGGGCGGGCGGGAACAGGCCGGGTCATCGGCTTGCCACAAATTCAGAAGCACAAGGCCGGGCCTGTTCCCGTCTCGCCCGAGGTCGGGCAACACCCGCTGGTAGCGGTAGGCGGACTCGGAGCTCCCGCTGATTCTACGCCTACGTAATGTCCTGTTGTGCAACTCCGTGCTCATGAAGTTGCGCCTACAGGGCCGATTCAGCCGCGTTGGCAGAGCTGCTATCGAAGTGGGACGAATGTCTCAGAGTTTAATTAACGCCAGTCCCATATGTCACTTACATTGTACACGCAAGTTCAAGCTCCACTAGCTCCGAAGATACGACATGGTTTCAGAAACGCGCGTTAACGAACTGCAAAACATTACATAAGGTACCTCACAATGTTGCAAAGACACAGGGTTGCTGGCTTGGCGTGCGGTAAAATTCATATAAACCACCGCCGTACGGGCCAACTCCTAGATCTTTGACGCCTTGTTCACATTGTACACCTATTCATGTATATTCGCAACGTTTGTGTCTTGAAACTCCATTGCTCGATGCAAGGCCCTTAAGGGTGTTCTTCATCTTTCGCACTTTCTAAACGCGCTTATTAGTTGAAATGGAGTCAGGGGTGGCTGCTGCTGCTCCAGGCGCAGCAGCAGCAGCCGCGCTGGCAAATAAAGCAACGGTTCTCAAAGCGCAATCACAATCGGCAATTAATGACGGACGTGCTTCTCTTGCACCAGTTTTCGCCGCAGGTACTAGAATTAATCACATTACTTGATGAGAATTGGACAATTGCAATTTTAGCTTGGTGGTTGCGTCTTGCGGATAAGGCAGTCGGAAGCTAAACCGAGCGAGCGGCGCTTTCCGCGTTCCATATCTGTTTCACTGCACAATTGGATCATGCAGGCGCTACCGCTGGGCTAATTGAGGGTATCTGTGTGCAACCACTGGAGTTCATGAAGACGCGGTAAGAGCCCCATGATGTGCTGGACGCGCCGCTCCAGCCGAATCGATACGTAGATTGCTACCCCTTGTCGATGCCTCCTCCAGCTCACTCCTCCAATCATAAATTTGCCAGTGCCGCGCTGTAAATACACACCGTCATCCATCTCGGACGCGACGAAGTCGCGGTCAGGCCCTTTCCAAGAGATGTTAACTCCTTCCCTCCGCAACCCCTCTTAACCTTGCTCGTGACCACAGCCTTCAACTCAACAAGGGTAACCCACTGCCAATGACCACAATCCTGCGCGATGCGGTTCGTGAAGGCGGTATCGCCCAGCTGTATCGAGGGGCCTTGCCCGAGCTCACAGGTGCGTGAGACCCTCGCCGTAGCTAACAGCTGTACGGCATTGTACGATCATCAAAAACGGGTGTGGCTGCTGCGCAGTGGCTGCTGCTGCGCGGTTTGGGGTTTGCGTGGCACCTGTCCGTGGTTGGGTCGCTCGGCATCCTAGGCGGCCTCCGTCCTCCCCCGCGGTTGTATCCTGCACCTGCACCTGCCCCGGCCCCCAGCGGCCCCCAACGGCCCCATGTTGCCTACAGCTCTGACTCCCGCGTTCATCTGACATTGTCTGCCCTCATTCCCTCGCTCACATCATGTGTATGTGTCTACGTTTGTCGTACAAAGGCATGGTGCCTCGTTCCACCGGCGCGCTAGCCTCCCTGGAGTTCTCTAAGCGCCTCCTCCGCCAGCACGCACCCGACCCCAACACGGGCAAGCTGCAGGTGAGCTTGGCGTCCCTGGGCTGACGGAGCATGTATGACACTGGGAACATGTACGACATTGAGAACATGTACGGTCTCGTATAGGGCGCCATCATGATATGAAGGTGTGTGTCGCACGGCGCTCGCTGGGAGCTCGCTTGTGCTCCGACACACACACAAAAAACACAAAAAACATATCCGTACGCTCCTCTGTCCCTTTCCATGCTCCTCATCGAAGCCGGCACCACCACCCAGACTGCACCTGTGCCTCCGCACGCACACACACACATGCTCCTGCCGCAGGCGAGCCATGCATACGTGGCGGGTGCCATTAGCGGCGTGTGCGAGAGCCTGGGCTTTGCGCCGTTCCAGGTCATCAAGGTAACTTGGGAAGTGGCCGCCGCAATGGGGGCTGCCGTGGGCCCCGGGGGTGGGGCCGGGTTGTTCCAAGGCGGCGCTGGGGGACCACTCGGCCGGGACCACTACGACCGCCGCCGCCGCCACCGGTATGCTCCAGGCTCTGTCCACATCATATTCAAGTGCATGAGGATTATAAATTCACACCGCATTACCATTGCATCACTGCCACAACGAGCTCTTAGTGCTTCTAGCTGAATAAGTTTTATCCTCGCTACCCACCCTACGCTTGGTTGTTGGCTGTTCGCAGGTGCGCATGGTCGCAAAGGAGCATCTGAACAGATACTCCTCATCCTTCGTAAGTCGTCTGGGTCATCGGAACATGGGACGGGGACCGGGGCCCATGTGTATGTGGTTATTGTAAGGGGGGTTGAAGGGACGCCGTTGGCTTGGCCTGGGTTGCTGCCACGCTATAGGTACATGTCTGTATGCGTGCGTGTGTTTCCTGCGTGGTGCCGTTGTGACGTTTGAAATGTGTGAAGTTTTGAGGTCGTAGCTGGCCTCATCATCTCTCCGCTTCTACTTCCGTACCGCTGCGTCGCCCAATTGCCGTTTCCTCATTATTCTCGTCACCCACCTCATATCCCGCAGGACTGCGCCATGCAGCTGCTTCGCGCCGAAGGACCCGCGGGTCTGTTGATCGGCTTGGGTCCCACCCTCTGGCGGGTGACCACGTGGAACACGTTGTATTACGGCACCATGCACAACATCCAGGCTGAGGTGTACGACAAGCATCCGCTGCAAAACCCAGTGCTGGCGGCGGCGCGCAAGATGGCCACCGGCGTGGTGGTGGGGATGACGGCGACAATATTCAACGCGCCGTTTGATGTGATCAAGTCGCGGTTCCAGAGCCAAGAGCGCGGGCCGAACCAGAAGTGAGCTCAACAAGCGCGCACCGGTGAAAGAGTGGTAGGGAGTAACGATGGGAAATGCGAGGGATAGACGTGTAGGGACGTCGTGATGATGCTTTATCTCTGCGGCTCGCACCGTGTGATTGCTATACCTCTGCGCTCCTACTGCTCGTTTCCACACACACCTCCCCAAACCACGCCGTCGGCGCCGTCTCTGCACGTGTTGGGTGCGGGTGTGTACTTTTTTTTTGCAGGTACCGGTACACGCTGCCGTCGCTGGTCACGATTGTACGGGAGGAGGGCGTGCGTGCGCTGTACAAGGTGGGAGGAGCTCTGCGCTCGCAATGGCGTGTGAACGTGAAAGTGTGTACATGTTTATATATGTATGTTTATGTATGTATGTCCAATCACGAAGTCCCGCCCGCGCACTCCCCTAAAACCCTGCTCCCGTGGCCCTCAGGGATTCCTGCCCAAGGCTCTGCTGCTGGGTGTGGGTCAAACGATCGGTTACATGGTGTTTTCAGAGGCCCTGAAATTCTACGGGTCAGCCCTCGCTGAGGACGAGGGAAAGCGCCAGTGAAATGGCGCTTGCAGGAGCCCGCCACACACCGCCACACACTCAACACTGCCTCTCCCAGGCCGCTATATCGGGTTTTACAGAAGGACCTCTTATGTCTGCGAATGCCCCCCGGGGGGCCTAGGCGATGTGCAGGTTAGGGATGTGTGTTGCGGAGCGACCGGTGCTGTTGGCGGCGTGTGCTGAGTACGCCGTACATGGCCCCCACCGGACAGGCAGGTACCGAGATTTGCTGCGGTACAATTCCTGATGTTTTGTCTGTTGGTACTTGGTGCACCAGTTGCGATGTCTTGGTGACTTTTGGAAGGCGCAATCTAGCCAGGCCCTGAGGTGGAGTGGAAGGCGCCTGGGGCTGAGGTCTTTTTTGTGCTTCAGTTTAGTTTAGACCTTGTGGCTGGGGGCGCGGCGGTTGGTGGCTCCTTACGACTCGAGATTCTTGGGGTTGCAGTCGATGTGATCAATACGCGCCCAAATAGATACTCAGCCGTTTGCTTTTATCAGTTTGAAGGGGCCAACAACATCATCTGTGCAGTCTACAGGGGCTTGCGGATTTGACTGTGCGGGAGGTTTGATACGCCATGGGCATCTTGGCCGTTGCGGCGTATGTGCGTGTGTGGGGGGGAGGGGTCGGTATAAGGCGGCCTTCTATAGAGGCTACAAAGCCGTATGGAATGGAGGTATGTCGGAGTGCGGTATGCCGCGACCAACCATTCCAAGTCTGCAGTAGCCATCAGCTTTATATGAAATCCTTTTGCGGTTTTATGGGAATTCGCAGCCGCAGGGCCGCCATACAAGCCAACTTAACCTGTAGGGATGTTATATTTGTATAATAAAGTTCGTCTTTTTCACCGACAAGTTGCCGAGGGGTCCCGGGGTCAATACATCATAATGCCTTAATTTCTAAGGTTTCTAATGTACCTGATACCCTCCTGATGGTCGTCAAAGAGAGATCTTGCGATGTGGGTTTTGAGGTGTTGTCGTGTAGGTAGGTCAGTTTCTGTTGCAATCGGGCAGCAGCAGCGGGATGTGCGAGAGGGGCCTTCACGAAGGCCGCGGGTCACACCGTGGCCGACTTTCCGTAAGTTTGTGTCTGCGCATGTGCGGCCTTCGCGTTTTGTGTTTTGAGGAGGGCGTGTCGGCGTGTGTGTTTTGCTTACGTGTCTGTATGCGTGTGTCTGTATGTATGTATGTAGACCTGTCAAGGGAGGGCGTAAAGGGATGCGGTCTGGTGGATATGGAGCTCCTGCATGTGACAGGTGGATAGGAAGGGGAGGGGGAGGCGCGGAAGAGGCCTTTCGGGGTTGGGTGATGTATTGTTACACCATGGTTGCATGGCAGGGTGGTTCCCTGGACACGGGCTTAATCAGTGGACAGACTGACCGACGGACAGACTGACGGACGGACACACGGATAAGAGTGAGAAGAGAAAGCATGGAGAGGATCCATTTTTTATGGTCCAAAATAACAAAGTAATTCTGGGCGCAATAACGAGGGCTGCAGTGCAGTGGCATATACGCATAAATGCATTAACTGCCGTACGCCGTTACGGAGATACCACTGATTTCGCGGAAAGTGTGATGATGGTGCTTTTGCGTTGAAGTGGCGCCGGCTGCGAGACAGCGTTATCCCTTTGGCCCAGAATTCACGCAAGGGGATAAAAAGGATGCTTAAGGGGAGGATGGAGTTGACCGGGGACGTGTGTTTGCCCTGGCGTGTTTCGGTTCATTTAGAGCTGGAAGAAGAAGGAGAAGGGCGCGGTGGGGGTTAGTGCCTATGGACTGCGCGCTTGGCAGGCATTGCGTTCCAGGCTTTTGGGGTAGTTTAGGTGCTACTACCCCGTTGAGGGGTAGTGTAGCTGGTTGGGAGCCAGCGGCGTGTCGCGGGTTCAGGATCAGGTCCTTTGTTACTACGCTCTGTATGTACGTAGGTTTTATCAACGCTTGGTTGTGGCTTGATGTGCGTCATTTTGCGTTTATTTATATAATCGATCATCGCCGCTGTCTTAAGGTGCTCGAGGAGGACTAGAGGCGATGCGTGAATGCCCCGCACATTTTTAGCCGGTCCAAACTGATAGTTGATACTTCCTTCGTATTCCCACTAAGGGGGAGGACATGGAGAAGGAACAAGGCTAGTCAGCTTCTTCAAAGCCAATAAGGGCTCGGGACCGTTGCAGCCAGTCGCCCCACAGTATTCCGCAGGGCGGCTGTACGGCACTGGGCTGCAAATGGAGGAACGGTGTCGTGTTTGGACTATACGCCCATTATCATGGATATAGCTGCGAGGGCCGGGTGCAGCGGCCGGCGGCGTTGGGAGAGTGATGTATGAATCTGGTGTTATACACTTGCTAAGGCGCCAATGCAAATCCATGGACGGTGTGCATTGCGCGCCGCCTCCATCTCAACAAGAACGGCTGAGCATCTATAGCCCCCTGGCGGAGGGTTGCAGAGCGGTCAGGATGCGGCGGAGGTTCAGGCACAGGATACGGATGGAAGAAAGAGTAGGTTAAAAATGTGGACCAACCCCCCAGGATGGCGATGGAAGAGGGCCCAGGATGGCGGCATATTTGGAAGGGTCGATGCCAACCCACAAGGTTGAGGATGGCGGGAGGGGGGGATGGAGTCACCAGGATGCGAGATGTTTGGCTCGAGGATGGAAAATGGTGGGGGTGTAGGATGTATCCAACCGATAGGATGCGTGCCCGACATGGGCCCCCAGGATGCGAGGATGGGGCACGGCTCTGCAACCCCTCTCTCCAGGTAGTGCGCGAACCCAGTTCCCCATTGCCAGTCGAATTGGAGAATAGGACATGTATGAGATGTGGGTGAGACGGAGCAGAAGGCAAGGTGGGACGAGCTGGAGCAGTTGGCATGAATGGGCTGGAAAAGTTGCGGAGTGTGGCGATGAGCTGAGTCATAAACAGGACGTATATAAGGAAGTCCACGGAAAGAGCGAGAAAACTCGTGTGCGATGCGTTTGCTGCGGCTGCAAGCCGCATGACGCTGCTGTTGAGGTTTCTCCCAAGTATCAAAAGGCACTTTGGTCGCATCATATAACGGTCCTTTTACATCATTTTCCCTGTCATGGTATCGAACTAATGGATTCTGGAACTGTTGCCTAAGCAGTAAGAGCGCAACCGCAGCAGATCCTAACGCTTGCTGCGTTGCTGCCCGGCGCCAACCTAGGGGCAGCCCAGCTGCTATCAGAGCCCGCGCAGCACGCAGCCCTCAGCCAGGCATTACAAGTCCAGCCAGAGCATTCAAGCTTGACGAAACAGCCGGGAAAGCGAAAAGCGACTAAGACAAGCGTCGAGGAAATTTCGACCGCCACGGGCCCGCCGCGCCCTCCACCTATTAAGCATGAAGTATACGAAGATCTAGAAGAAAAATTCAACCAGTTGCAAGCAGGTCTGTGTGCGCAAACTATGCACCATACCTGCCCATGGCCACCGCCGAACCGGCCCACGGACCCCAAGCCCTGTTCCTCTTTCCCTGGGGAAAACTCCCGTATCCCCCCCCTCACCTTTCCGGCCCTACATAGATCGTGAGCAAAAGCGCCACCGCGGCAACCCAAAGGGCTACCAGATCAAGTCCTTCTGCAAGAACCCGGCATGCGGCAAACAGCTGAATGGCGGCCGCACCAACCGGTGCGATGTCTTGTGGTGAATCTCCCCCATTCTCCCACTCCCTCTCTAGGGTTATGTACAGGTACCTGTACACACACAGCCCAGCACCAGTGCCGCGTTGTTAGAGGGCGGCATCCCTCCTTCCTGGGCTTAAAGGCTGTCGTAGAACGGATCCTGAGCTGCACGGCTCGGCGCTGGTGTCCCCCCTCTCCACGGGGGTTGAGGGGCTGCATCCCTGCCCCCTTTACCCCCCCCCATTCCCGCCCAATCCGCCTTTGGACCCCCCCAGGTCCGCACCTCCCTCCGCGATGCGGCCAATGAGGTTCATGTACGGACCGGCGGCAAGGCGGTGGTGCTGACGCTGATGTACATTGAGGGAGGAGGTCCAGCGCCGGCGCAGGCCATCGGTGAGCGCGCGAGTGGAGCGTCGGCATGGAGGGCAGAAGCCGCGCTTCTGCTTTTGTTGCTTTATTTCATTACCATTCTTGCTTTTCTTGCCTCTTGTTTATTCACCGTTATGTAAAGCATTGTGGAGCGCACACACAGGAGCCACCAAATTGGCAGCTTCGTGGGAGTGTCAGCAGATCCCCCTCCCACTGCCCACATGCCGCTGGTACCATCGGGGTCCATCGGTGGTTCCAGTTCGGGGTGCTCACGTTTTGAGCATTGCGGTGGTTGCGGGAGGGGAGCACCGCCCCATCACATACCGTGACAGGTAGGCGCCACATGGCCTGGGCGCACACGAAACCACCAGCCCCCAGACATGCTCAGGTTCGGGTGACATCCCAGAGCCCATGCGAACCCCACATGCTTACCTTGCTGTACATACATAGGCTGCTGTACGGCGTAACCCGGCGGTGGGGCTCCGTATGGCGGCGGCGACGCACCGTACGGTGCTGGCGGTGCGCCGTACCCTGGCGGCGGTGGGGCTCCGTATGCAGGTGCGCCGTACCCTGGCGGGGGTGGCGCGGCGTAACCGGGCGGTGGCGGAGCGCCGTACCCAGGCTGAATGGGCGCCCCATAGGCTGGTGCAGGGGCTGGTGCGACCGAGACCGCAGCGGGCGGGTGCTTCTTGTGTTTGCCCTTGCTTCCGCTACTGCTGCTGCTGCTGCTGCTGCTCCGCCGCAAGTGCCCTGAAGTTAGGAACGGCCAGTGAGAGGGCAGTGAGGGGGTATCAACACATGCCGGGAAAGGGCAGGCGAAGATAGTGCTCTTACTCCAAGACAAACGGTTAATCTATCCTAGCGGCGCTGGGTTACGCAGCCACAAATTCACAGGCCAGGTGCCAGGGCAGCTGTTACTGGAAGGTGCAGGTGCCGGCAGATGACGGTTGTTTGCTTGA